TTAGCAGTCCAGGGTCTTATCCGTCCAGCCACCAAAGTTAGGGTTCGAGGGACTGATGACAACTAGGTCATTTCCGCCTCCTAGGAGGAAGATCGTTCCTCTCATCGCCTACACACTCATGCTAATAAAAACATTCACTCTCGATACACACAAAAATGAACACAAAACGAGATGTCTATCAAGTACATATTATTAAACAGACAAAAATCACAAGCAGACTGCTAATATAGGGAGGGATTCAATAAATGCTTTTTCAAAAAACCTTTTCATTAGAGGAAAATCACTTAAATTATCACTTTTTAAAACCACCAAAATTTATAAGTTGAATTTGTTCCCTAAGATAAACATAAATCAGCAAAACATTTGAATAAAGTATATGTATCTAGGAATCATTATATAAACAAAATTAAACTAATTAAGCTCTCAAACCCTATGCAGTTAAACGATTTATAACCTACGGGATTGTATTTTTCTTCGAGCATTTGCTCTTGAAGCCTGAGAGTTTGTCCAGTGGAAAAATTTGAAAAAAAATGTACTTAAAAAGCCATCAGCTCGTACCGTACGATCATCAAATAAACGGAAGAGGCATTGTTGACGGCAATCAGAGGAATACGTCAACTTTAACATTTTACCATCCATGGGAAAAAATGTACACGTTATCAGCCACATGAAAAGAAAAATATGGCATTAAGAAAAGTACTCGTTCAAAATGTTGATTCTCGCCCAAAAATACATAATCTGCTTGACTTTAGGACGGAGCAAGTAAGAATGAAGAAAAATAGTAAAGCAAAAAATAAAGATAAAAGCTAAAGTATCTACAGTTTATTCACTTTTAAGAAAACAGTGAACATTTAAGTGTTTAAACTGTAATTGAACACCGAATTATTCTGCTTTTAGTGGATTTTTAACACTAAACAACACAAAATGGAATATAATATAATTAAAACCCACAAATTTACAAAAAGCTGAATACCTAAAAATTCCTTTAAACTAAACTCAGCAATGTATCAATGGAGATACAAGCACAGTTATACGCATTTATCTCCAAAGAAACTTTAAAAATTTATTTCTATTAGTTTTCACGATATGTACGATCGCACATCTGCGATTTCAGATTTCTGTATTGAAATTAAAAATGAAAATTGTTGAGATAACTACCGAAGATATTTTTACTTTGGATAATAATGACCAAACCCTCAATGATCCAAGATCACCAACTGACTCCCAGAACTCAGGAACCGGTTTTTTTAACAATGAACTGTCGATTGGTTTTCTACAGTCCTCAACTGAAGTAAATTTTACCCAATAACCAACAACCAATGCCGGTCGTTTTTGGTCAATTGCTGACTTTAATTGTGTGCAGTAGAAACTAGAATTAACTGTTGGGTTGGACAAAGAAACTCATACAAAGATATTCCTTCCAATCCCATCAAATGCACAGTATTACCTTCTTGAGGCTTTTGGAGTTAACGGTGGGTCGCTGCGTTTTCCCCAGGATTTCGTCTCTGCACGTTTCGAGATTAAGGACCCATGTTTCATCGTAAGTTACCGATCATTCTCAAAATGGCCGGTTACACTGCATTTTACTTGGGCATCGCAGATAGAAACGCGGTCCAATAAATTTTTCTCAGTCAATATATGAGGAACCCATCGCTCCGACAAACAAATCCAGTTGTTCTCATATGCATTGAAACGCATGTACGAGCTATGTTACGGTCACCGCTATGTCTCATATTTTTGAGCGTTGGTCATTTGTGACAAAAGCTTGAATTCGGCCATCATCAACTGTTAAAGGACGACCAAAGCTGCTTCCAAATCAAAATTTCCACTTCTGAACCAAGCAACTTACGGACGGTACTTTCTCCTAAATAGTCCACACACAGCACAAATTTTCCTATCAGTCTGCGGTTTTACCTTTGGGGTAATAAAACAAGACGAAAATGCTCTATTTTTTCTCAGTTTTAAATTAACAAAACACCTAGTAAAAATACAAGATGTCTAGCAAACTGACGATTAAAAACACCTTTTCCGAGGATAAAATCAACAACGATTGTATAAACATTGGTTCAAAACACAAGATGGACGACGCTTATTACGAACATATTTTATTAGCCAAATAATTGAGGCAATAATCAATTCAATTAGGGAATAACAATGATTTTAAGTTGATTTTATTTTTAGAAACAGCCCTGATTATGCAAAAGATAATAAACATTATTTTTTAACTTTGGATTCATTGCCTCCCTGGACTCGGCAATTTCAAATTTAGAAATGAATCATTAGCATGAAGGAACAGTATAGGAATTTTCTCAATATTTTTCCTACGTGAAAACAGTTATAATCCCCATTTTCAAAAAAATATCTCTGTACAAAAATTTACAATTCTTTTACTTGCCGTTAAGAACTAACAAATTACAGATTTAGTTATTATTTAGCTCATTTCTTTTAAAATAACAAAATCAATTTTTAAAGTAGTCATGATGATCATGGTAATGACTAATGTATTAATAACATAGAACTTAACTTCATGGAAAATGGAGTTATCTCGATATACAAAATTGATATAAGTTTTTTATATTATAGTTGTGTATTAAAAAATTAGCAGTGAAGAAAAGAAAAATACTCAAATCGATAAGCTTTCAGGAAATATATTTCCCTCATCATAACTTTGAAACTATTATTAATAATTCAAAAGGTTTCAAACCAAACTTTTTACTAGTGCTAGAAGTTTGTCATATTTACTTATCTCGTGAGATTTATCTACTCTTTCAAATTGGCCTTATCCCTGATTTTATAATAAAAAATTGCAACATGAGATATTGACGAAATTTAAATTTAGAAAAAAGAAGTCTTTTCCGATTTAAGTTAAAACATACAGCGAGGACAGGGAATAACGAAATTAGGGTCTTTGCAAAAGGAAAGTTATACAGATGAAAAGTAAGACTGTAATCTTCTTCATAAGTCATTTCATTCGCAGACACGATCCAACGGAGCCTAAGTTTAGAAATTCCTATTATCTCCTTACTAATTACTAAGTAGCGACAAGCTGGAATTACTACTCTTTCAAACTTAAATCTTTGATATCGACGTCTAAGTGTGATTCTTTTAAATAATTTCAGCACTGGAAGTTCAATAATGTCCTTTCAATGATAAAAAATTTAGACAATATTGCCTGGTCTACCATCCTTGAGAATATACTTTCAATCAATATAATTAGGAAGAAATTTCTTTCTTGTCAAATATCAGAAGGAATTTTTAAATATTTTACATTTCTACCATATTTTCATTATTATAATTCTTCTGATGTTCAACTAAGGTGAACAATAAGACAATACAGGACCAAGACGAACTGAAAAAAACTTAAACCACTTTTATTTGGAACATAAGGTGGCCATTGTAACCTAAATCTGAATACAAAAAAATTGGTCGTTACCGATCACTGTTAGACGATTTCGGCATTTCGGAATTTTCTTTTGTCTTTATGCCTATAAAAATAAACAAAGCTACACATTAAGAAGGAGAAATACCATCTGAAAGAACAGTGAAGATAGCCATACCGGACGATTGGTAACGACCAAATTTCAGGCTCATAATTCATCCCCAGACATACAGAAACACGGAAATTTTTTTTCTTTTCAAAATCTTTCTGAACACCATTTATTTACAAAAAAAATGGAGTCGGTGGACGAAATGTTTAAGGCGTTGACAAGGAGTCTCGTCGATGTAAGGGCCCCGGGTTCGAATCTCTCTACTTACAAAAAAACTTGAGCACCAGGGTTTGAAATGACCTCTGCAGTTGAGAACACCCGTAAAAAATAATAACTTCTGGTCAAAACAATTGTAATGAAAACAACTGTTCATACTACGACAAACAGTTAACTGTAAAATCTTGCTAAAGTCGGTTTTTTTTTTCTTTTCCTTGCCATTTGATTTTTAATAAGTCGAGAACTCACTGTTTTTATAATGTCGGTTGAACAGATCTTTAAGTATTAAATATTAACAATCAATTCAATCCGCAACTCTAATTTAAAAAAATTCCATGATACAAAATATCACCAAAAATAAAAGCAAAAAATACTAATAGAAAATGATAGAATTAATATACACGAAAACATAGGATGGTTTGATAAATCGAGAAACTATCCATTGATTATTTTTAGTTCAATTATTATAATCTAATCGAAGCTGTGAACAAAATAAAACAAAACTAATTAAAATAATAATAAATAAAGGTCGTAAAATATAAAAAATTAGAATGCTGTAGCAATATTTATTATTATTGATTGAAATTTAAGTCCCTTGGGTTACACTGAAATCTAATCAATAACCATTTTTAAACCACAAAACAATTTCGTAGTTTCCTCGCCTACATTAGCCCAAACTGGCCTAAAGTATACATCTTAGAGATTCTTTTGTTTAACAAACCGTTAAAGCAAACCGCTTGCCGTTAAAGGAAAATGGAAATATAGCTCCTTACAATTTTACTCTTTTTGGATTCTTTTTTTTTTTCCTTCAAAAGAGATCTTTTCAACACGAACCCCAATGTTGCGAGGGAGTTGGGATCGAATCACCGTTAGACTGGAATCGTTAATCCAAAAGTCCGACTGAACCGGCGTCTTATGTAGAGCAAGGAAATAATGAAATGGTAATGGTGCCCGTTAGTTATCAGTTTACCCAACCATGAACGCTCGACATTCTTGCACGGGGGCTTTACGGGCCAATTGTACGGCTACGGTTGACCTTTGTGAAGTTGTTTTAATTTATATGCGGATTCTATGTTAAACTGTCTTATCTACTGGCTTATCTAGCCGGATATGTTCAGCTTTGTACCAATTTGATTAGCAAAGATGACCTGGACATCAGCTTCGAAACGTTGCTCTTCAGTTAACATTCATGCTTTTATCCTACAATTTTCCTATTGAACAACTCGATTGATCAAAACTAACTTATTTGGATAGTTTTAATTCGTTTATTAATTTGTATATTCTGTAATTTCGCAGGAAGCGACCCTAAGGTTACCAGGGACGGCCTCTAGCAAGCCGACCAAATACCATTACTACCCGCATAACCAACATATCTACTTGCTTCCGGAGTGCGCCGTGCAGCAGGTAAGCTAGTAGTTTTGCGAATTTACAAGCAGCACTGTCATTTTTATTTTTTTTGCAGGTGTGCAACGCTGTCTACGTTAGGCTCAACTACACACAGCCTCTATGCGCTTGTCCTTCTCGTTACCGAGAACCGTGCTCGGCTTCGCTCAATTCGGACGATCTACATACGACTGAACTTTCAGCTGGATCGACAGGAAAAGTACATACATTATTTAAAATAATACCGAAAAAATTGAAACTGCTATATTTAAAAGTAGGCTGAGTTGGGGAGTTGCTGTCCGAGTGGATCGAAGTCACGATAGCTCAAGTGGTTAGAGCAGCGGCGTATTGAGCCGAAGGTCGTGGGGTTCGAATCCCGCTCGTGACACTAGCCTTTTCATTTCAACCAATACCTTACATAAAGATTAATTAATTGAAAGAAGTTATTTGGTCAATAGGACCACGAAATATAATGGATATATTTAAAAGGTTAATCGTAAGCAATTTTGTATAAACGTTTACCTCTTAGCAAAATAAGCTATTTACTTTTATCGGTTAACAGTTATTTTAACATAATTTTCATAAACATTGTTTATTATGAAATGACTAACGAAGACTGGTACAAACCTGAACAGAACATATAAAAAAGCTTATAAAGTAAAATTTGTCAGGAAATGATATCAACCTTGCACATTCTTCAAGAAAGTGGGCATTTTGATCATTAAATTTAATGCATTAGATTTCGTGGTCCGATTGGTTGAAAAATGGCAAAAAAGGAGGGGAAATTCGAAAGGTGGGTTCAGATGGGAAGTTGGTGTCCGAGTGGATCGAAGCTCAAGTGCTACAGCAGCGGCGTATTTAGCCGAAGGTCGTGGGTTCGAATCCCGCTCGTGACACTGACTTTTTTATCTCAACCAATACCTTACATAAAAATTAAATTTAATAGTTAGAGGCTTGTTGTAGCGTAGACTGCGCCTGACAGACCAACATGGTGAGGATAGGCAAACCAGGATGACCAGTAATGAGAAAAAAAATTTTTCTCATAAATGGAATATTGGATGTTTTATGTAGGATGCTGGATTAATTTTCACATTACATCATGATTTAATACCTCTTATCTCTAGGAAACGTATCTAAAACTTATACAAGAATTTGATCACGATTATACGCTCTTCCAACTTTTTTCCCTAAATAAAGTTAAAAACACGTATCTAATGAGTTTTCCTATAGCTTACGTTAAACTCACATAAAATTCACTTTCATCACTAAGAATGTTTTTCTCCAATTTCAAAATGGCTTTTTCTTCATGAAAACATGTTTTGTTAAAAAAAATGTTATAGCCAAATTTCATGAACTCTTTCATTGTTATGAAATTCGACAACTGATCTAAACATTATTGTAATTTATTATGTCTAAATTGGATCAGGACATTGCTTGTAGCAGTAGTCCAAATCCAGGATACTAGATAGTAGGGGATTTTGAAGCCTTGATGTGGTTCCAAAGAGCAAGATCTCTTTGAAATTATCATGTATGACCATTTATTCAACTGTGGAAAACTAAATTTTAGAACTTAAATTTTTAGCATGTTACCGCAATGGGTTTCTGGGCATCATGCTTATCCTGATAAATTAGATCTTCTTCCAAATGAAGAAAGATTGGCCAAAAAACTGTCTGTATGTTTGGTTGATTTTATTACGAACACATACATAAATTCAAACTCTATCCAATGAAACTCGAGGCGGTTGGTGAAATAAATTCTTAGTTCAGTGGATGAATAATGCAAAATGTCTTACAATTCCTGGTCAAAAATCTAACCAAAAAACCATAAATAGCTAACTATCAATTATGGATCATACTTTCATAAATTACATCGTAATCAAGAAACTTATAAATTTAAATTGTACTGATATGAAATTAACAGCTTTTAATGTTGGACGGATTAGTTTTACGTTCAATTGCTTAAACGACGGTCAGCCACCTCGGATTGACCATGTCCGTAATATTAGGCGACGAACGTGTAAAAGGTCGACGAGAAAGAAGTGATGCAATTAGCATGTGCAATGGAGACGAACCGTTCTGCTGGATAGGCCCACACTCCGTTAGCGAGTCCGTAGGGAAGAAAATTCCGAAGGAGCAATCAACGAGAAACTCGAAGGAGTTTTTGGCCTTTTTTCTGCCCGTTTTCCCTTCATCCGGAAATGCCGTCCCCACAACATGTAGTGACAATCTGGCCAGCATAATTGCACCATTTTTTTAAGGATTTGCTTATTACTGTTTAAATATTCGGCCTTTTTGTGAGGGTTCCACTTGAGGTTGCACGCAAACCTTTTACTAGCTGCCCACACATGTTACAAGTCAAAAAAGCCAAAATATTTATTGCAATCTATGTATACTTTTATTATTAATTAAACTCGACTACTTGCAGCTCTAATTGTTGTGCTAATCAACTTCGAGCGGAGTTCTAAAGATTGTATAAACTAAATTATTATAATTACTAACTATAACGAGAGCAGGGTAATTATTATAATAAACGAAACTTCTTAACTACTTATATATGTACCTTCCATAAATCTTGAATATTCACGAACTCCTATGAATCAAATGCCAGAAATGGTATTAATTACGCTCATGGGAAACTAATCTAACGATATAGTGTGAGTGAAAGAATGATTGAGTGATTAAGTGTGTGAATAAGTGAGAGAATTAGAGTGAGTAAGAAATAGAGAGAGAGAGAGAGAGAGAAAGAAAGAAAGAAAGAAAGAAAGAGAGAGAGAGAGAAAGAGAGAGAGAACGTAAGTGAATGAGTGAGTGAGTGAGTAAGAGACAAAGAGAGAGTGTGAGTGAGAGAGGGAGGGGGTAAGAGAGAACGAGAGAACGAGAGAGAGAGAACAAAGAGAGAGATGGAATAATTAAATGTGAGAGAAGAAATAGGTAGACAAATAAATAGCTTGATAATAGATAGTTGGCAGATAGATACATGGGGAGAAAGATGTAGGGAAAAGAGAGTGAGTGAGTGAGTGAGTGCGTGAATGGGCAGATGGGTAAGTGAGTGAGTGAGTGAGAAGGGGTGGGGGAGGGAGAGGGGGTGAGAGAGAGGTGGGGTAAGATAGAAGAGAGAGAAAGATTGAATTACTAAGTGAGTGAATGAGTGAGAGAAAGGGGGTAAGATAGGAGATAGGAGAGAGAAAGAGAGAGATTGAATAATTAAGTGAGTGAATGAGTGAGTGGGTGAGAGTGAGAGAGAAAGGGGGTAAGATAGAAGAGAGAGAGATTGAATAACTAAGTGAGTGAGTGAGTGAGAGAGTAGAGAAGAGAGAGAGAGAGACAGACAGAGAGATTTAATAATAAAGTGTGAGAGAGAAAGTGAGAGAATATTTCAATCTGAGTATTTAAATGCATATTATATTTAAAGAAGAATGAATATCATTGCATATTGAATTGTACATAAGAACTATAACAATAATCATCATCAACTTTAACTTTGCCAAAGATAATCAGTCTTTGATCCATCATGCTATTTTACATTGAGCATAGTCCATGGCAACTAAAACAATTGGTGACTTTGAACTGAATGTTAAACTATAGTTTTGGATATAGTTCATAATTTTTAATTTTTTTAAAGGTTTTGACTCTAATTAAGACCTGTGAGCCAGTTGCTGATATGAGGCTCTGCCGTGCCCCTAGAGACTGGTCTCTCCTGGCACTGCAGAACATAAGAACAGGAAAAAGCCACTATCTTGTCATCTGCAGATGCCCAGAAACAAGTGTGCTAGGTCAGTTATCAATATAACTATTATAGAGATTTTTTTTTTAATTAGAAATTATTTTAATAATTTTGGGAAAAAAATGTTAATATGTTTTGTTTTAATTTGTATTAGAGGGTCCGATGAGTCATGATCAGCCTACATATGCCAGTGTACCTGGAATTAGAGTCTATGGGATGATGTGCGTCAACAACAAGACAACACATTCTACACCATCTTCTCTAATAAACTTGAACAGAAGGGGGCGGCCTTTGAGGAACAAGAGAAACCTCAGGATAAAGGGTAGGACAACTTTTTCAAACAGTTAAAAAATCAAGAGAGAAAAGGAGTACAGTGGAAGTAACATTAAATTTGTTTTTGTTTCAGAGCATGTACCTCCTTTTCCATGGCACAGAGTAAAAGAGCTTTACAAGAAAGCTAAGCTGTAAAAAAAATCGAAATGAGTCTTATAATTGGTCATGAATTCTTAAATGGGTAAAATTTTCAAAAACTCAGTTAGCATTTCGATCCTATAAAATCCTTTGAAATGCACTGGGTTTTTGCAAATGAAAAGATTATCAATTTATGTACAATTGGAGTAAAGGATACTGCAATTTGGAACAAAAATAGCCCACCACAATTCAATTTAACAATTTTATGATTTTAAAACAAACTAATAAATACATGTAACATTTAAGATGTGATAGATTATTTGTACTAAGAATCCATTAAGAAAAAGAACATTTCTATTTATTGAGCTGTAAATAAAAGCTGTATTTATTATTTATGTATAAGAGTACCTACTATATATATTGCATGGGATATCCCAGCTTTTGAGACTTATTACATATGTGCTAACGAAATTAAATATCATGCGATATTCTCGGAGATTTTTTTTTTTATATTTTAAATTTCAGCTGTTAAAATCTAATGAATAACTAACCTGTTAAAAACAAATTGCAACTATGATCTAGCTTTAATTAGTATTTTAAAATAAAAGAAACGGGTAAAAAAGCTGCTAATGAATTACAATGTTGGATTTAGTTAAAAGAACTTAGACACAGTATTACACAAAACATTGGAAAATGTTAATTATAAATTGTAATTTATGAAATAAATATGTGAAGAATAATTATTTGTTAATTTTTTAAAATTCCACCTTTCCACCACAAATTTGTATATTTTTGCTGAAGATGGTGAAACACTAAAATTTCAAACCAGCAAGCACACAAGATAATCCGAAATGACTGAAATTTATTGAAACAAGAAATATGTTCTTCAATTTCCAGGTAGCTCGTTCTGTCTTAACGATCAAGTATTAATCATGTCTATGATGATGTTGACATAATAACAACAGTTGATATACTTCACAACTATGTTAGAAACAAAGATGGCTCACTACAGGCTCCAGAGATGTTGGAAAAAACCTCACATCACAGGTTCTACCTAGCCCAATGATTTAACACCATTTTTGAGCAAAAGTAATTGTTAATTCAATCGCAAATGTGTACAGAGAATATTTAACGATTAACTTTAACAAAAAAATAGTGTTATACAAACCCCAACAACAAGTTAATTTTGGCTAGGAATCACATGGTGGTAACAGATTTGGTATAACCCATATTTGCTTAGTGGTCATAAATGACCACATTAATTATACTTTTTAACTAAGGTTCTTGATTGAGATGAAAAATTAGTGTCATCAGCAGGATTCAAACCCATGGCCTTAGGCTCAATATGCCACTGCTCTAACCACTTGAGCTATTGTGACTTCAATCCCCTCAGACACCAACTCCTCCTGTGACACTAATTTTTCATCTCGACCAAAAACCATAGATAAAAAGAATAATTAATTGAGATAATTAATATGGTCAATTGTGTAATCACAAATATTGTTTGGCAAGCTAATAATAATAATAAATAAGGCGAAAGTAAAAAGATGCAAATGAGAAATTGGAAGCAAGGAAAACTAGTTGTTTTAAGAAGATGGAAGCTAATTCCATTCAAAAAAAAATTCAACATTATGTTACCAAAAATGGAAAAAGAATCATACTCATCCATCTGCCACACTAGGATAAAAAGATAGACACTTATAGATAGCTTTAACCCGAGACTTCATCCACATGGGACTCAGTTTTAATGTATATTCGATGCCGAGTATGGCTTTCTAATATGGTATCTCATTTCTCAAATTCTTCTCTTCTTCAGTTCACTTCGGTCTATACATGGTAAAAATATGATCCCCTTAGAATTTCATAAAATCCTTTCTTAGCGGCTATTCATGTCATTATAGGAATGCACTGTCAAAATTTCAGCCCTTTAGATCCAGGGGTTTGGTCTGTACATTGTCTCAGTCAGTCGCGGAACTGTTTTGTATATAGATAGATATATATTTACAACAAAAGAAAAAAAGATTATTACAAAAAATAATTATAAGTATGTACAAGCATGGATTATTCAGAAATCGTGAGATGCGGTCTGGTGTGATGTAGGTTTCCGAAAAACATTTTCTTTGTCGTTCCAACATTATGTAGGTTTCAGAAAAACATTTTCTTTATCGTGCCAACGTTTCGATCTTTATTGAGATCATCTTCAGGGCTCAAAGAGTTTGTTTTCTGCATAAACACTTTGAGCCCTGAAGATGATCTCAATAAAGACCGAAACGTTGGCACGATAAAGAAAATGTTTTTCTGAAACCTACATCACACCAGACCGCATCTCACGATTTCTGAATAATTATCGACTAACGGTCACTAATCACCACACATTGATGATTAAATTGATAGACCAATTTAAATCTGAACCTCCATCTCGGCGTGCGTATTCAATTAATTGGTACAGATGATATACACCATCCGGATATTATTCTTACTTAAAACAAAACTCCCCAATTAAAATTGACCTAAATCCCCTAGTATTTTGCATTCTGCTACATAATGAAAAACGGTTTCCAAAGAGCGGGAATTATAAAGTAAACAAAACCCAGACCCCCCCCCCAACCATAAAGCCAAGCTCAAATGTAATACCTCACATCTCAGCTTAATAAGTTAATGGAATTCTCAAAAATAGTAACCTTAAAACTGACAGATATGAATAGAATGTAGAGAAAGGTTGCTGATGTGGCCACGGCAGCAACCCTGTAACCCGTTCTATTATTTTAGAAGAAACAAAGCTGTTTTATTATTGTATGTAATACTTGGCAGAAATCTTGTTTAGCATTTCCTTTTGTGTATATTAGTGAATCTATTTATTAGAATTGTTGTGTAATTTGGATAAAAGGACAATAAGATCGGATAAAACTAACCTTGGACTGCCCAAACAATGAAGTGGGTGATGATGGCAAACCGAGAAGTTATAAGCTCAAGCTGTACATATGTGTATGTACATGTAGAGTTGGGCTTATATCAATAGGAAATGTATAGAAATCATGAAATATGAAGCATTTTAGGCAATGATCACCAGGAAATCATGTACCATCAAGAGTTCTTGGTTTGAATTTCATATTTTACCTTAAAATTGTCTAAAAATATCCCTGTTAAGTTTCCACTGTTATAAATTAAATTTTAGCTGCAATTGCTAATGATAAAGTTTAATTCAAACTTACCTAATACTTCTGCATTGGCCTGAATGTTGCATGTGTACATGGCTGCCATTAGTCGCTGTGGCTGAGCTTGAAAGCTTCTTCTGCAACCTTCCTTGACTGCTGACATTATCTGACCCGACAATGGGCCATACGTTCCTCTACAAGCCAGCATAATATATAAATTAAATTTATAATATTTTCCTAAATTTAGTTTTAAAAATTACCCAGTGGGGATTTCAGGATTGACAACCCAGTCAACAACAATGAAAGCAACTCCCATCATTGGCTCTTCACACAGTGGACCAGCAAGTGAAGCCAATTGGAAACCATTTATAAAACTGCTGTCATACTCAGAAAGATTGTTTGGGGTTTGTAAATTAGATTGTTTCCAGAAACTTCTGTCATATCCTAAAAAATATTTTACAATAAAAACTTTAATAATTATATGTTTTTAATTTCATATATACCTTCTACTAGGTTGATTAATAAATTAGGTCCACACCTCCTTGGCCCAAAACTCCATATTTTATCAAAAATACGATTATCACTCCAGATCCCAGAGCCCTTTTTTAACTTATCGCACAACTCTTGTTTAAAAGTTGAAATATCATTTAAAACTTTTTTTGACAAATTAGGCACTTGTTTATTTATAGAACCATCTTCAATAGTTAAATTTGCTAAATTCTCTTGTAGGTTGGTTTCATTGCTTTTGGTACTTGTGTTTTTATCCAGTATTTTAATTAAATTTGAATTTTTCTCAAGGAATTCTGTTACTTCGCTTTCTAATGGGGTACAAAAAATTTTCAGAGTTGATTGCTTATTCACTGTCATAATCGTTACAACACCATTCTCGTCGACATTATCATCATCAATCTTAAATAAAAATTAGTTGTTATTAAAAGTTTTAATCATACAATAATTAATATATAACCTTTTTTTGCATCACAGAAGACTCCTGAATGGCTTCATTCACCATATCAACAGTTGGCGGTAAAACTATCGTCTCACGAAACGGAATAATCGGTTCTGATACATTTATATCAATTTTGGCATATCTAAACAAAGAAATTGTAAAAAAAACTTTGTTATAAAAAAATAATTCTTCAATTAAATAAGATTACCTAGTACTTATTAGGTATATATTCTTACCTAGTTTTAAGATCATCAATACATCTTTCTAAATGAACCTCTCCTGCTGTGACTAAAACATGTTCACCAGTTTCTTGAACGAAAACCTAAAAGCAATATGAGTGTTAATTTTTTTTATTTATTTGTTGAAAATTAATAAACTACCTGAACACAGGCATCTGCCTGATTTAACAATTTGAGCCCCTTGATGAGGGCTGGTAAGTCGGAATGTTTCTTTGGCTCGACGGCTATTCGCAATATCGGCACAGCCATAATGTTTAACTCAGAAAACGAAGGGCAGTAAATAACCGATGAAAGGGTTGCACTTTTTAAAATATGGTCTTCCAAACCTCCAATTCCTGTGAAAGTAAAACATTCAATTTGATTTTTATTAACGCACTTTAATTATTTATTTGAAAAGGTCATAACATGCCTACTACATTTCCAGCAGGAGCCTCATCTATCGTTTCGAGTTCTCTGCCCATCATTAAATAAATATCATTAATTTTAACTTTTGTTGCATGATGGCCACTTTTCAAATCTTTTAATGTTAAATTTTCAGGAATATCACCTTCTTCAGCAAGCTTTTTAAGCAAAAATAAATAAATCAATTGATTATTCCATGCAATTCAAAACAATTCATTACTTGTTGCAATGCTGTGGCAGGGTTGTGTTTAGGGCCAAGAACGTAAAGTACAGCACCTTTCTTTAAAACTCCACTGTAAACCCTGGCAAAAGCAATGAATTCGTCATCCGGAAGGATGGGTTCTTCATTTACAATTGAAACCTCGGCTTCTCTTCCAGTTTTCTCTTTTTCATCATTATCTTTTTTATTAGCCATCAATTCTGCATGCCTCAGACGGGCTTGGTCCCTCCTGGCGGCTAATTCCTGCTCCGTAATGGCTGTAGGTCTGTTACGAGGAAGAACTTTTCTGTCAACCTGAAAAACCAAAAAGTTAAAAAAAGGAAAAAAATTGGTAGTAATTACATTAGTATGAACTTACAGGGAACATTTTTGAAACAAAAACTATAACAGGTTCATCTTCACTAGAAGAACAGTTAATAAATGCCTTCTTCAAGGCTTGTGTTTCTGGTGGATAAAGATCTATTGACTGGCCACTGGAACACATTAATTTTTCTACTTTTTCCTCAGATAATTTATTTGCAGGTGGCAAAACATTATAAACCATATCTAAAAACATTTAAATTATTTGATGACAAATTGTTTTTTAACGCACAGGAATATAAAAATAACCTAAAACCGCATTGGACAAAGGAAGCCATTGGCTAAAAATGGCTTGAAGTTGAACTTTTGGATCTGTATGCCTCAAATCTCGTTGGGTGAGTTTTACACCTAGAGCTGAGGAGATTGATTCGATTTTGGTTTTATCCTGGAAATTTCATTTAATTTTTTAATGATGTTATTTTAAATCAAAATAAAATAGGGGTTTCCTTGCAAAAATTTTACCTTCCTTATGCAAATAGTTTCATAAATTGTCCATATATTTTCCAGCACTAATTGCACAAATAATGGTTTTTTAGCTTTCTCTTGTGCACCTCGCATAACCCTCTTAGTTTTATTGTTTAAATAATAATCCCCCCAGAGTGTTTTTTTCAAAACGTCTTCTTTCAAACCGAGTTTTTTAGAATACAACTTAACAAAATCATTAACCCTGAAAACAAGATATTTTTAAAATAATAAAAACTGAGTACATTTAAATTTGCATACCCAAAGCCCCAGCCGTCGAGAGCACTGGCAAATACTACATTCCCCTGATTGGGTGAAAAGTAAAGAGTTGAGTCGTCCGCTTCGTCCAAGCCATCACCCCAATCATAATTTTGAAACTGACCAGTATTTTCTTCTTTACTTGTATCCTTCGCTTCATCTTTAACAGCTTTACCAAGCACTTCAGTCATAAATAATTCACCAGTGACTGCATTGACCTGTTCTAAAACCTGTGTTAGGTGTACAAAAGCGTCAAGTGGGCTCAGTTTCATTTCGAGGATCAACCGGTCGATTTTGTTTAGAATAAGGACAGGCTTTATATTCTCGTGCCATGCTTGTTTCAGAGCGACTTGAGTCTGAGGACAGACACCCTCAACAACGTCGACAACGACGACAGCCCCATCACATAACCTAAGAGCAGTGGAAACTTCAGAAGAAAAGTCCACATGCCCCGGCGAATCGATTACATTAACTAAACATTCTGCACCTCCTAATAATAAAACAATTATTTGAAAATGATCTAATCATAATTTATAAGATTTTATTATACCTGTTTGGTAATATAAAGTTATAGAACTACTTTTCATTGTTATACCTCTCTCTTGCTCATCTTTTCTACTGTCCATATACCTACAATTAAAATTAATAATAAAGAATTGATCAGGATGTTATTTACAAGATTTTATTTTACTAGTTCACTGCAATATTTATTTTTTGTTTATTGTGTAAGATATGACAATAAATATAAATTTAGCATAAACAAAAAATTATTGTGGTTAATTATGGTACGTTTCATATACAGGTCTCAAAAAATTAATTTTTTATTTAACTTTTCTGTTTTGGTTTAACACAAATGTTTATTTGAACATTCAAAATAATTTAGTTAAGGTAAATTTAGATAATTGATTAAAAAAAATCAAAAAATGATGAAGGTTGGTTTAACTTTATTTACGAAAATGGTTCAAAGTTTTTGCCTCCATTTTTTGATGCAGTAACTTTGTCTTTTTAGAAATTCATCCTCTGTCTATTTCAGAAGAGTTTAAGTATGTACTAATGATAAAAAACATATATAGTGTAAAATCTTATAAGTGAGGAATAGATGTAGCGATGATAGGCTCAGAAGGCTGTGTCAATGAAATTAAAAATATATTTTTAAGGACAGAGCATGCCAATCTGATTACTGATACAAAAAGTATTAAGAGTTACATCAGTCATAATTTTAAGTTGTATTCATTGTTACTTGTTAGGATTTTTTGTTAAATCAACACAAATTAAATTTCTGTATTTTATTCAACTGAAATTTCAAACTTCTTTGTTTTATTTTAATAGTTTTAATTATCGGGAACAAATTGTTGAACAACCAGTTGCTAAACAACATACAGACAAACCATGCCTCAGGAGGCTGTGTTGATGAAAATCAAGAGTGATTTCTAAGGAGAGATCATACCACTCTAATAAGTGATATAAAAATATTTGCACATTATTAACCAAAATAATTTTTAGTTTATACTTAAGGCCAAGTTGGACAAATACAAAGCCACAATTACTATAGCTGGTATTTTAACAGAAAGAAACATACATAGATACTTAAGTATAAATAATTTGTTGAAGTAGTGGGGAGCGGTTAGGAATGAAGTATTTTAAAAAAACTTTTTTTTTTTGGCCAATGTTTCGACCTTCATTCGGGTCATCTTTAGGGCATAAAGTGTGGTGCTTTCTTGTGGTGTTATGTTTGTTTTGTGTTGTTTTTATGTGTATTTGTGGCATGCTGTTTTTTTTCTTTATGCCCTAAATTCACGCTGAAGACCTATTTCTTTAACTTGATAATTTATAAAAAGTTTAATATGTAGATAAGCACATGTGTGTAAAATATACTAAATTAAGTAATCAAGCTGCAGGAGGCTGTGTTACTTATGTGATCTAATAAGTGATATAAAAATATTTGCGCATTATTAACCAAAATAATTTTTAGGTCGCACTAAAGGCTAGTATAAAGATGAATAAGTACAAGTACAAAGCCACAATGACAATAGCTTGGTTTATAAACAGAAAGAAACGTAGATACATAAGTATAATTTGTTGAAGTAGCAAGGAGCGGTCAGGAATGAAGTATTTAAAAAAAAAGTTTTTCATTTTTTTGCCAATGTTTTGACCTTCATCCAGGTCATCTTCAGGGCATAAAGTGTGGTGCTTTCTTGTGTCGTGTTTGTTTCATGTTGCTTTTATGTGTATTCATGTCTTTTTTTTCTTTATGCTCTAAGTTCACGCTGAAGATATTTCTTTAATTTGGTAGTATATAAAAAGAAAGTTGAATATGTAGATAAGTACATATGGGTAAAATATACTAAAGCAAGTACTAATCAAGCTGCAAGAGGATGTGTTGAAAATCGACACATATTTCCTAAAGAAAAGACACTTCCAGGTGAGAAATCAATCAACAAACTCATAAATGATTGATTGATCATACTGACCACCAATGACACCAGATATCACAGTCAAACCACATGCATGTTCGACTGAACTTTGTTGTCACCTGAGCTTGCCAACCATCCTTGTCGAGATGATCCCATTGCTCGCGACCAAGGAATCTGCCAGGGTCGTCTTGCCATGGTCGACGTGGGCAATAATGCACATGTTCCTGATGGTGTCAGGCTTCCTCTGCAGCTCCAGGAGCTTCTCCTTGCTCAATACTCTCATCCTGCCAGTCGCAGAATATTACAAAAAATAACCAATGTCGACGTTTTTTCCACCCTTTTCTCAGATCCCTATGGAAAAGAGTTGTTTTTTATTTGTAAGGATTGTCGTCTAGGGCGTTCGTTATTGAGCGAAATGTTGTCATGTGCAGCACGTGACAATAAACAAAGAACGGGCTAACGTGACAGTTATAACACTCATGTAAACCCACGACTCATGTGTAAACCTCTAGTGTTGCCTTTAAAAAAAATCTTTTTTTTTAAGTCATCACTTGTAAACAATTTAATTAATTGTTATTAGCAATGTCTAAAAGTACATCATACAATGTTTAATTATACATTGTAAATTGTAAATATTTAAAAACTTTTTCATTAGCAAACATGAATATTAGAGTAAATAATTCCTATAAGCCACTGTTTTAAACATATTAAAATTTTATTCTTGCTTAATTTTATATTGAAATTCCTCATTTTTATTTTTTATAGTTTTCTGATACCAACTTGGTGAAAGAACAATGTCGTAACCTAGCCTCTGTCAAATTAAATGTGTCCTTATGGCTTCTGCTTCTAGTACTTCTGCAAAGTCTCTCTTTGCAGATTCCAAATCCAGGCTTGCAGACAGGGTGCAGAACAATGTCAACAATATTGCCTCATTAGCTAGGCAAATTCAGAGAGGCTCTAAAACCTCAGAAGTGTGTTTTTTATTTTTCAATCCCTTACCTTTTTAATTTTTCTTAAATTTTATATTTTAGATTATGATGACTTCGGCTAAGAATTTCGCAGCTCAAGAGCAGGTCATAGCAAACACAGACGCTGTAAGTGTTGCAGTATCAATATTAACTCGTAACACTAACACGCTGTTTTTTCTTTTTTCTTAAGTTGATCAAAAAGATGCAGCATGTTGTTGACAGGATGCATTATGATCAGATATCTGTTGCAAAAAGTGCCTCACTTATTGTACAAGTAAAGGACCAGAGCACAGCAATGCAGCGGTGATCTTCGGTGTCACACAAACACTGTACTTACTTTACTGATCTCTAACAAAGTTTTAGCATTAAAAAAAACTACTGGCAAACATTGCAACTATTATCATAATTAAATATTTAATTGTGTATTTAAATTAATGTAATATTTATAAATATTTAGTTGTTAAAGACTGTAAACTATTTTTATCAAACTGTTTTCTAGTCTGATTTTGTATTAAAATATATAAAGTGCTAAGTGTTTTTCTTTTCATTTTACATTATTTCCAATTTTTTAGAATTAAATACAAAAATGTATACAGATTATAATATGTTTTTCTGAAGCCTACATCACACCAGACCACATCTCACGATTTTTGTATAATCATCGACTAACGGTCACTAATCACCACACATTTCTATGCATTAAATAAATATATTAATGTAATAGTGCCTACAATCATAATCGATCAAAAATACATAAAACATTTACATTTTCTATGCATTACAGTTGCCATAAATTAATGCCAAGGTACAAGCCTTGAAGAAGAATAAATACGAATAGAAAAGTTGACGCAGGGTGTGAGCTACCCTCAGGGAGCTTTTCAGCCTCTGCCTTACCCTTTTGGGGCAGAAAATAATCCATATTTACTTCATTTTCTTAAGTTAAAAAAACTGTCAAATTGAATATTTTCTTATGGCTTGTTGTATTTTCTCAAATCCGATCTCAGCAGACTCCAAAACTAGTATTTCTGATTATGCAAAGAATTTTTTTGTAGAAAGTATTTCAATACAACTGTAGTACAGCAAATTTTATTTTTTAGGCAAGCAATAATAAAGATTTATTGAAAAATATTTTAAATAAAAAATGCATATATATGCATGAGTAGAATAAAATGTGAAATCTTTTTTTTTTTTTTTTTTTTTAAATAGTTCTTACTCACATTAAGTATTAAATCGTTAAATATATGCCTACTATCTAATTATCGTAAATTCAATAATAAATTTTATGAAATGAAAGTGTTACCAATGGGGTCTCCATTATCCCCACTTTGTGCCGAAATATTCAGGGTTAATTTAAAAAAAAAATCTTTTCAAATCAAAGAACAAATTAATTAAATCTGTTCATTTTTGGAAACGCTATGTAGACGATATTTTATGCATATGGTCGGGAACATTAGAGGATCTCAAAGAATTCCTCCAACTAATTAATTCTCTACACCCTAATATAAATTTTACATTGGAAATTAACAAAGATGGTTGTTTGAACTTTTTAGACCTAAAATTGTCCCTAATAAACAACGTAATAGAAACAGACATATATAGAAAACCCACAACTACAGACACTATGATACCAGCGGATTCTTCCCGCCCATGGTCCCAAAAGGCTGCTGGTTTCATTTGGCTCATAGACCGTATGTTAAAACTTCCATTTACCCCTGCTAACTATAAAAAAGAATTAGAAACTATTAAAACCATAGCAAAAAAACAATGGGTATCTAGAAATGTATTGATAGGTTGCTAGTTAAAACAAACAAAAAATTAACTTTAAAAGAATCAACAAAGAACTCAGCCACCCCGCCGTAAATGAATCATCAGGTTTTCGTTGTTTGCCATACATTGGTGAATTATTGGAAAAAGTTAGTAAAATTTTTAAACAAGAAGGTTTAGAAGTACGGGTTCACTTAAAAACATCCTCTCAAAACCTAAAGACAAGATAGACAACTTGGCAAAAAGCTTGGTTTACCAACTTAATTGATATTAAATATATAGGGCAAAGCAGTAGAGAAATAAAAACGAGAGTAAAAGAACACTTGCCTAAATCGAACAAATTTTCAGAATTTAAGGACCACCTAAAAGAAACATAATTTCAATCCAAATTTAAATACAACAGTGTTACATAGTTTCAACAAAGGGAGAGAACTAGATTGGTTTGAGAAATTAAAAATTAAAAAATGTAAAATTGAACGTGGAGATAAATGCATTAATATAATAGATTTGGATCAACCTCCCATTTTAAATATGTACATAAATAATATTAAACGTCCAAATAATTAAATTAATTATTTTAATTGTTATTATTTTTATAATAATTTAATAATATTAAGGTGTTATTCTAATTTTTTATCTTTTATCTTTGATCACTAATTCATAATTAATTTCTTACAGTATTTACCATTATAATATTTACTTGTTATAATTCAGGGTTTTTTGCACATTCAAATTGAGCACCATTAAAAAACCAGCTTCTCATTGAAAGTTGGTTTAACTTAATGTGAGTAAGAAGTATCTTTTTTAAAAAAGAATTGAATACTGCACTCACTCCATCATTCACCATTTCCATTAAAATGTGAAAGCCAATTTGAGATATTGTGATTCAGTCTAAAATTCTGCTTGGAATTTATTGACTCAGAAAAATAGAAGAATTGAAATTTTTAATTTCAAATCTGATCATGATTATTTAAAAATCGTGTCATCTCCAATCTACCAAAATTGAAGGCATTAAAAATTGTAATTTTTAAAACTAAAAAAACAGATGTAATTTTATATTGTTAGGGAAAAACATTGTTTTCTACTTTTATTTAACTGATTTTTTCATTTTTAAAAAGTGAATATGGAAAGTCGCTTGGAGCACAGGATGAGTAGGAGGCATGGGCAAATGAGGGACATAGCGCCGGTCACTTTAGGAAAATGGCTGATTAGTGAGAGAAGCACCGACCCTATCAAGACTCCTAAATTTATAATGATAATGTCTGCTCTTGAGACTGCAATACGATCAATCTCCCAGCTTGCCGCCAGAGCACGGATAAACAGAATGTACTATTTATTAATTTAAAACATATATATTTTTAACTAATTACTTTACAGTGACCAGAGAGTGGATGATGAAACTTCATTTCCAATAACAAAACAGGAAACCCTTGCACATGACATTGTATTAAGGTGCTTAAAAGCAAGTGGACTTGTAAGCATTGCAATCAGTACAGTCTCACCTACTCCAATCTTGGTATTTCTTTATTTTGATTTACATATAAATAAATATTTTATATATAATTCATTGTGTAAAGATTGATGATGAAGCAAGAGAGCTAGAGAGTTATGTTGTTTGCTACAACCCTTTAGATGGAGCAAATCATCTCAGTGCTTCTGCTATTACTGGAATGATATTCTCAATTTATAAGTATTAGCAGCATTTCAATATCAACCATAAATTTATATTGAATTTTTTTTTAATTAAAGGAAAGGTGAATCAAGAGATTTAAATGACATAAAATGTGGAAATGAGATGATAGCCGGTGGTTTTGCTGTATTTGCTACGTGTAATATCTTGATGCTGTCAATTGGCAAAAAGGGTGTTCAAGAGTTTCTGTTTGATCCAGTGAGGGTTTTGGTGTTTATATCATATAAATGTAACGTTTTATTAGTATAATTTTTACAGGTCCTAGGAGAATTTATAGCTAAAAATTTGAATGTAACTATCCCTGTAAAGGGACATTTCTACTGTATAGATGAAGCGAAGTCAAATCTGTGGAATCAAGCTACCTTTGAATACATCAATAGGAAAAAAAATCCGAAAGTAAGAATGGGAAAAAGAATTTTTCTTATTGCATTATTTAAAAAAAAAAAAAAAATGTAAGAATTTTTATATTTTCAGTTAGGTAAGGTGAAGAAGCTTCGGTTTGTGGGCAGTTTGTGTGCAGATACTTATAGAACTCTCAAGGAGGGAGGAATTCTTCTGTATCCTGAGACTTCTTTGCGACCTTTGGGCCAGGTGACAAAAAGTGAATTTCATTTTTGTTCTTAAACTCGAGAATATTTGTTTGTCTGTTCAGGTAAGACTGTTGTGCGAGGGTAATGCCTTGTCCTATCTCGTCCGTGTTGCTGGAGGATTGGCTTCCACGGGGAGAATCTCGCCTCTAGATGTCTTACCCAGGCCGATTCACCGGACATGTCCACTATACCTTGGCTCAAGAGAGGACGTGATAGAACTTCTTGAAATCTTCACAATCCGCAAAGCGACAAGCTGAAATAAACGCATTAAAGAGAAGATTTGAAAAATTTGATTTATAATATAAACTATAATCTTATTTTTATAAAAAAACAAATGTTTAAGTCAGATCTTTAAACAGATGAGTCTGATGAAAGTTTATAGTAAGGCATATTTTTTTAATGTTATAAATGCATCATAGCCAGATATACACCAAGCACCCAGTTTGCCCAAAACATCTCAATTTAACCAGCCCAGAGAAAAAACGAGATGACCAAAAGGACTTTGTGACCTTGTGCAGATTTATAAATGAAATAGAAAAGTTCAAAGGAGGATCTCACCAACTGCCACAGTTGATAAATTCTATTCAAATAGCTTGTAAAACCGTAGCTCTGACATTGAGGAAGTCAGGAGTAGCTCAAATGTAAGATCTGCTTATTTCTAAAAACCACAGTAAATTTTTGAGAAAGTACACTAGGCAAAAAATATTTGCCAGCTATAAATAAAATTGAAATTTGAGTATATTTGAATGAATTAGACAACAAATTTTAATTGATCAAACTTTCAAGGCTTATTTTCATCAATAAAATTGTGTAAAACCTTTTTTCAAATTTATTTGGACTATTTCTACACCAAGGGATTGATTTGACTACATTTACTTTAGTTAGTCACCCATTATTTTTTAAGGCCTTTTTTTCCACGATATCGCATTTGATGACCAATAAATTGTTAATTCTGACAGACTCACTGAGGATGGCAAAATGCCAATACGCATCTGATAAACCAACCTAGTGAGGATAGGCACACAACGATGATCAGAAACCACCAAATTACAGGTTCAGACATCCTCAGACCAAATGAAGAAATAACGATGTTCAGTTTTGTTTGATGATTTAGTAAATCTAATTTTCTACTATAAACTTTTCCCATGTTCGTGCTACAAATTAAATTATTTACCTACAAAACAGCAATTATTTTGTACAATTGTCTGATGTATAAAAATTAAATTATATAAAAATCACTTATAATTCAAATAAACATAAATGGATTATGGGATAAAGTATAAGAAATACAAGCTCTGATCCCAGAATGGCAAATACTTTCAATCTCCATTTTAGAGAGTTGTGTTTAATTTTTTTAAACAGGATTTATTGATTTCAAAAAAATTTAATTTTTATACAAGGGAAGATTTCAACCTTTTCTCCACTGCAACCTATATATGTATTGTGGAACCCCATCTGATTATGACCATCGAAAGTACCTTTTTTTCCCAAACAACTCAGCACTTTCTTCAGTGCCTCTTTGCATATTTCTTTTGGTCTGAAAATTGTCTTACCGAAGTGTCTGTATTGTATATGGCCTAGTGCCTAAAAACTCACAAAAAGAGATGTGCTTTCTGTTGCATGTGTTTCCGGTTTCACCTGCCAGATAGGCATGTTTCTGCTTTGCCCTTTGAAAAGAAGTTTATTTGCCTTTTGGAGATATTTATAAATCTTTTAGCTTGCCTCATACCTGGTGTTTTTATCCAGTGCTTAAGTTTTTCTTTCTCAAGCCATTTTTCCAGCTGCAAATTTATTCTCCAGTGCACCCAACTGTTGTTCGAGAGGGCAGTCATTACAGCAGTACACCGGGTTTTGTTAGGGAGAAATTTAGCCCCTTTACTTGGATAGGTGCTATTTGTATAGTCTAACGACCAAGTTCAGCATTATTATCCGACTTCTTGCTAACATCTAGCTGCTAGTTGGAGGTCAATAATCTTTCTTTGCATTGCTGTTTCAATGGCTCAAGTCATTTGTCAAAAGCTCCTTCTTCTGTCCATAAAGCAACACGTATAAAAGTTACTGACATCATTAAAATTATTATTAACCCAAAAAATGTAATCGAAGCTTAATGGTGCTTATTTTTATTAGTGCTTAAGAATATGTAGTTTCAAATGTTTTTGATAAATAAAAAGAGTTAATGAGATTGTATTTAACTTCTTTAAGTGAATTTAACAGTAAAATGTTAAACAATATCTAAAACAACATGTGCGGTGATTAGTGACTGTTAGTCTATGATTATTTGGAAAATCGTGAGATGCGGTCTGGTGTGACGTAGGTTTCAGAAAAACATTTTCTTTATCGTGCCAACGTTTTGATCTTTATTGAGATCATCTTCAGGGCTCTAAGTGTTTGTTTTCTGTACAATTCTGCCATTTTTGCGTGTCGTGTTGAGAGTGCCCACACAAGAATGGCACAATTACGCAGAAACCAAATACTTTTGGTACAAAAAAAGTACAAGTACAAGTTGGTACAAGTACAAAAAAGATCGAAACGTTGGCACAATAAAGAAAATGTTTTTCTGAAACCTATGTCACACCAGACTGCATCTCACGATTTTCGAATAATAAAACAACAACCATAATGAGAAAATGATATAATATATAATAACAAATTATTTTTAATTAACAACTTGCTTATAATATATAACTGCTTTCTCTATATAATAATTAATTGTACATTTTTAGACAATCTCTTGGACTTTCTAAGCAACTAAACCTTATTGAAATTAAGAGGCTTGAGAAATATTTCAATGAAGTGTTCATTAATTTATTAACAAACACTTATGCTGTCTGCTTAATTGGATGCAATGATTGTGATGAAGTGATCCGGGTAAGTACAAAAAATTTTGTTATTTATAGTGAACAAAAAAAGTCATAGGAGTTTTCAGGTTGACGCAGAGCGAGCCGGAAAGTACATAGTTATTTTCAAAGCATCTGATGCTTCTATGAATGTTGATGCATCACTTTGCCTCGGGACAACATTTATAGTGCTGAAGTAATAAATGAAATTAAATGTTGATAAATTTTATTTATATTTTTATTTTCAGGAAAAAAGGTGCTACTCGAATAGAAGAAAGAGACCTGTTACAACCTGGGCAAAAAATCATTGCTGCTGGATACACATTGTACGGTTTTTCAACAGAAATGGTCATTGCAGTTGAAGGGAACGTTGTCAGCGGTTTCACCTTAGATAATGTGATTATGACTTGATTTGGTCTATTTACAGTCAAATGGTCAATATCTTAAAAAATTACAATTTTAGTCAATCGGTGAATTTATACTGACCTCTGAAAATATAGAGATTCCTAAGATGGGAAAAAGCTACTGCGCCGATGAAGGATTTGCACATTCATGGGATCCAAATCTGGTGAATTACCTGAACAAAAAAAAGTCAGAGAAGGTATGCTTTTAAAGAAAAATTTTAATTAACTTGGAAGTTTGAAAATTAAGACATCTTAATTTTTTAAGGCTGGAAGTTTGGCTTGGTCTGCAAGATATACTGGTTCTTTTGTAGCTGACGCACACAGGACTCTAATGTTTGGTGGCATGTTTATCAGTCCTCCAATAAAGGACTACCCTAAAGGAAAGGTACACCTTGCAATTTAACAAACTAAAAATCTACCTCAATCATTGACTTTTTTTAGAGCAAGCTCATGTTTGACTGCAACCCGATTGCATTTATAATGACACAAGCTGGAGGATACGCTTCAAATGGAAAAGTTCTAATCGGTGAAATTGTCCCTGAAAAACTTCATGAAAGATCGCCAATTTACTGTGGATCACCAGATGATGTCAAAGAACTTGTGAAATCGCTTAAACAATTCTAAAAAATAATTGAAAAATAACTGGATTTGTAATTATTTTTTTACTGAATAATTTTTACAAGAAGGATTTTTAGGCTTAATGCCTTGCCTGGTTTTGGTCCTGAATAAAGGCATCATCAGACAAAAAGTGTGCGGACGTTTTTAATTTTTCACAGAAATCACAGCGATCTCAATATAAAAAGGACGACTAAGTAATTTGATCCTTGCCAGTAATCTTGGTTTGATTATCTTCACTCGATTAGTCTGATCCCAGTTGTATTTTTCTGTCTACTGTGAACACAGACTAGTTAATTTAATTTATCAAACTATAAAATATAATGCAGAAAAATGTTCAGACAACTTCACTATCTCTACACCAAGAGTTTCTACATTGTACAACTTTTTTTTTTGCCAGTTGCCCATTATTTGGGTCCCCTTTAATTATCTTTTTCCCTGATCAGGGCTTGGGCGAATGAAATATGTAAAACATTATCCTTTAAATTTGGCGACCAACAAATCTGTTAAAACTGATCTGATGCCAGCACTTTAAGATGGTGAAATGCCAAACTGACAGCCCAATGCTTCAAGGATAGCCAGTCCAAGATGATCAGTAAGAATCAAATTACAGGTTCATCACTGCATAAATCACAGGATTGATTAGACAAGACACACTGATTAGAGATAGATTGATGACTATATTGTAAAACATATTTTGTGTGACATCCATATTCTTATTAAAGAGAAACCTTTTGTTTAGATCCCAGAATTTTTTGAATCTGTATTTCTAGGCTCACTCACAGCTTTTGTTTTCTACTGAGAAAAATAATGCTATATTGGGACAATACATGTTCAAAAAAAAGTTACTTTTTTTAAATATTGCCAGTATCATTGTGCCATTTAAATCAGCCATCAAACAGATTGAAAATGGTTTGTAAGGTTTTTCTGGACAAAGACAAGCATCGATCAAAAGGCTGTAAATTGCCCCAAATAATGATAGATACTGGATTTTAATAGTTTACTGTCGTTTACAAGTCTGTTCCTTGTTCAATGTTTCTTTTAATTCTTGAAAAAGTGTATTAAATGTTCATCATTTGGTATAAAGACAATGCTGGAGAAACATCAGGATCAATGTGCCATGTTTCTGACATGATAGTAGTTTAGAAAGAAAGAGATGTTTTACAAAACTGTATATGAAAGAACTGCAATGCTCCGGTGAAAAATGCACTGAGAACACATTTTGGGTACACCTGTGAAATTGCACAAATGGAGAACAATTTGTAATTTGAAAAAAGCAAAATGATTTTTCATTAGACAAAACCACCCTGAAGATGGCAAAATACAAAAATGTGTCTAACAGACCAAAACAGCTCGCATAGACAGACCAAGATGATCACTAAAGATCAAATTATGGGTTTAAAATTGTTTTAAATATCCTTACAATCAATATATTTCAAATTTCTTGACCAAAAAATAATAATAAAATAAAATAAAAATCAAGACACTTTTGAAAAATATCAGATGTAGTTATTGTTTGTTATTGTTAAGTAATACCTAGAAAGTGATTTTTAAGTTTGTACCTAAGAAGTCATGCAGTTGCACATAACTCAAAAGTTTCCGGGAGTAGTGAGGCTTAAACTGCTCGGTCAAGAGGATGAGCAGGAGGATGCGAACAGCTACATCCCTCTTAGCAGATTCATCAATGTCATCGAAAGGGCCAAGACAGTGTCAAGTTATACGTTTCCACAATTGATGTGTGCCATTCAGACAGCATGCAAATCAATTTCAATTGCTTTGAGAAAGTGTGGGATATCGCAGATGTAAGTCAAAATAAACATTTTTATGAGGAAAAGAGTCATGGAATGAATGAATCACACTTTGTCTGCTGATTCGTAACAAATTTGAAGCTTGAAATTTTTTTTAAATTTAAGCCTGGAATTTAAAAAAAAACTTTGCTAATGCGAAAGTTTTCATAAACTTAATGATGGATGTCGGTGACCACATCTTGAACTAGCACTGGGTGACTCACTCGCAAGTATAGACTAGGTGACCCGGTGCCAGTTTACACAGACTTAAATCTAGTTAAAAAAAAGACTAAATGCATTTATTACTTTTGTTGTATTGTTACCAAATTTTATAAACTTATCGCGATTTTAGGTTGACATTGGATATAGATAAAAACTTAAAATATTTGGAAATAAACCGAATGGAAAAATATTTTAATGAATTATTTATAAACTTAATATCAAATTCATATACTTCATGCTTGATTGCTTGCAAAGACAATGATGAAATTATAAGAGTAAGCATAATAAAATTTAAAAAACAGATATAAAAAGAAATTGACCTGAGACTTTTAGGTTGACCATGAACATGCAGGAAAATACATAGTCTTGTTCAGCACTACCGACGTTTCTAGGAGCGTTGATTCAAGTTTATGCATCGGAACAACTTTTGCGCTGTACAGGTAAAAAAGCCAAATATCAATGTATATCTCGGCTTCAATTAATTTGTTGGATATTAATAGAAAAAGAGGAAGCACAAAAGTTGAAGACAAAGATGTTCTTCAGCCTGGGTATAAAATGATCGCTGGCGGTTATGCGCTGTACGGAATTTCGACCGTTATGGTCATTGCATTCGAAGGTGGATCAGTGAACAGTTTTACCCTAGATAATGTTAGAAACATTTATACACAAAATATTTATAAATCATTTACAATGTTTATATAATGTGTACATCTTAGTCTATAGGAGAGTTCATGCTGACAGAGGAAAATTTAAAAATACCAAAATCTGGGGATATTTATAGCGCAAATGAAGGAAACATACAGTCCTGGGATGCAAATTTAGTTGATTACTTAGATAAGAAAAAATCTGCAAAGGTATAAATTATTTATTTCCTTATTTTGATTTGTTACAATTCTTACTGAATAAAAAAATATTCTAGGGATTACACCCTTGGTCTTCAAGATACATCGGAAGTTTGGTAGGCGATGTGCACAGGACATTGAAGTTCGGAGGAGTATATTTCTATCCACCTTCTAAAGAAAACCCAAATGGAAAAGTATGGCAATCACAATAGTTTTTATAAGCAAATTAATATTTATTTATTTTTTTAGCATCGCTTGATATATGAATGCAATCCTTTGGCTTTTGTCATAACCCAAGCAGGCGGTATCGCTTCAAATGGAAAAATGCCGATAATAAACTTAGTACCGGAGAAAATAAATGAAAAAACACCATTCTACTGCGGTTCCCATGATGATATGGAAGAATTACTTAAAGCTCTTTCACCTTAAATACCAATTTGAGTGGAGAAATTTTTATGGATAGATATTTTAAACATTTAATCATTATTTTCATTATTATGACTAATGATATTAATCATAGAATAACGAGTGTAAAATTTAACAATTAGGAAAAAAATGTTTTTTGAAAGATATAGGAATGGAACTTAAGTTTAATTTGATTTAATGTTATACAAATTGGTAACATGCATATTTATATTTTAAAAAATTGAACTATAATGCCTGAGAAATTAATTTTTCAAAAATTTTCTTTTAAGATAATGGAATTGTTTTGAATCAATAGTAATAAATGTAGTGACGTCAATGATATTTGATTATGATAAACTCTTACTGATAAAATTGATTATAAGCTGTTTTTTTTAACAACTTTATGATATTTTTATGGTATATCCATGAACTGAGGATATGATTTTGAAGATAACTTATTTGTGCAGTTTTTATGTTCTACTGATCAAAATTAACAAAAGATTTGAACAAGATTGAACCACTAAAATATTCCTGCCTTTACACATGAGTTTAGAGACGTTAAATATGTTATTATATGTTGGCTTTGGCCATGTTTGTGTAGACTGTGCCAACTTGAGTTTTCGCTTGAATTTTGATACGAAATTTGAATGGGAAATGTCAGAGGAATACGCTGGGTATGGTAGCACTACAAGCAAAACTCCAAAATTTCTGACGTATCTGCAAATACACAGGTGGAGAAAGTATTAGCCAATGCCACTCATTTTTGGTAATTGGGTACAGAATAAAGTAGAATTAACCAATGGTTGGGCAAAAAAAGCTCCTAACAAAGCATCCCTTACAATCCTGTCATCCAGCTTTTGGAGTTATTAATGACGTGTTTTTCCAAGCTATTTCTAAATAAAGAACCTACATTTCTTCCCCAGTTAGTAATATTTTTAAAAATCGGTGGACACAATGGTTTAGGTCATCACTCATCACTATAAGCTAAAGGTCCTGGGTTCGAATCTGCATTAAATAATAGGAATAATGTGAAATGTCTTCCAATTTGAGGGGAATCCCCAGTGGCTAATGAGGATTTTTTATGGTTTTCAAATCATATTCACTGCACGAAGTTAATAATGTTTGCTTGCAGCTGCATAGACATCTTTCATCCCTTCCCAAAAAATAAATGTCATACTAAACGTTTATTATTCAAAGTATTATTTTAAAAAGATATTCTGCATTTAAATCAGAAAGGACAAAAAAAGGTTGGGCAAAAAAGCTCATAACAAAGCATCCCTTACAATCCTGTCATCCAGCTTTTGGAGTTATTAATGTTGTGTTTTTCCAAGCTTTTTTCTAAATAAAGGACTCACATTTCATCCCCAGTTAGCAATATTTTTAAAAATCGGTGGATGCAATGGTTTAGGTGTTGACATGGCGCTCATCACTGTAAGCGAAAGGTCCCAGGTTCGAATCTGCATTAAATAGTAGGAATAATATGAAATGTCTTCTAAATTGAGGGGAGATCCCCAGTGGCCAATGAGGATTTTTTTTATGGTTTTCAAATTATATTCACTGCATGAAGTTAACAATGTTTGCTTGCAGCTACATAGACATCTTTCATCCCTTCCCAAAAAATAAATGTCATACTAAAAGTTTATTATTCAAAGTATTATTTTAAAAATAAATTATGCATTAAAATCAGAAAGAACAAATTACAAGCTATGTCTATATTTATAAAGAGGCGTTTCATAATAATACACCACGTGTAATGGGTGTGTCCATGCATGTATAGAAGCCTAAATAAATTATCTCGACTGGAAGAATGTGTTATGCAACATGGTATTAGAAAAAATCCGTAAATATATTCCAAAACGGTCTTTGGACATAATCTAAGATCGGAATTAGAAGGGGGAAACAGGTTCAAGGACTTTTGACGATTAGCAGGCTCGACCGGTCTCGACGTTGCAGTCTGCAGACGGAGCCGAATCGAGAAATGTCTTTGTCGACCATAGAAGGCGACCACATCACGCTAACCAGGTTCGTCCTGGCGCAGCAGAACCGGTTCAAGAACGCGACCGGCGAACTCACCCAGCTTCTCAACGCAATCCAGACGGCCGTCAAAGCCATCAGCACTGCCGTCAGGCAAGCCGGCTTTACGCACTTGTAAGTTGGAATATGCAACGTAAATAATTAATTAAAATATTTTTTTTTCTGACGAGCCTGCCAAGCTGGTTGGACCAAAATGTGCATGCCCTAAAGTGGAGAGATCGGCAAAACATATTGAACGACGTGAACATATTGATTGTTCCCCCTATGTCTAATAATAGCTAGCTAATAACTATCAGAAACTTCCAATAAGTCTAATCATTAAATTTTATAAGAGGAAAATTTTATCCTCTAAAATTTTAAAAATCAGCGAGATAGACTTACTCTTAGCTTGTAGATAAACCCCGCGGTCGTGGGTTCGATTCCCACCGTCACCCCTGGCCATTTTTCACACTATCCCTACCTCCACCCAAAACTATCTATTAGGAAATAATCAACGGGATCGTACTCTTGCTAATTTGCAATCTCATAAGGTCATTAAAAAAATAAATAATTAAATTTTAAAAATTAATTAATGTAAAAATATAATAATCATATATTAGATTATATTATTATATATAATAATAATCAGTCTCTCCCACGCCATTAAATTAATAAAAATAACTATGCATTGCCATAAGCCCAAACTTCATATTTTTAAATTTATTTTTGTGTTAGTTATAGGGGCCGCCGTATTTTTGATTTGATTTTCCTACCTTTATCGTGTTTTAATACCACTAATTTTTTTTCCTGTTTCTCTTTATCCTACTGTTACCCTCTCTGTACCTTAGGGCATTGTCAATTAGGTATAAAATAACACGGATACACAAGATAAAACATGATAGTCTGGTTAGCATTCACACTACTACAGAATACTCATTATTCCTTGAAGTAATGGGATATTACATTCACGCTAATACATTACATTCACTCACTCCTACAGTATTTAAAATTCCACGTGGTTATGGGAGATAAGCCCTCCATTCATGCAAATAACTATCAAAAACTACCAATAAGTCTAATTACTAAATTATATAAGAGGAAAAATTTTATTCGTATAAAATTTTAAAAATCAGCCAGATACTCTTGGCTTATAGACCCCACAGTCTTGACTTTTGAAGTATTGAATAAGTCGCTACATTCTTGCACCACAATTCATTCATGCTTATGTATTATTACCTAATTCTAAAAACAATTATTGAATTAATAAAATAAATAAATAATAATAATAATTAATGGGTAATACATAAGGCTGAAGTAGCAGCACATTATATGAGTTTTAAAACTTGTTTGTTAAATGCACTTAACATTTTTATCTACTGTATAAAGTTATGATTTATTTAAAATTGCACCATATGGAGAAATATAGGCTGTAGAAAAAATTTCATGTCTGCATAGAATGGGGTTTGATTCAATTTGACAGGAGCTTCTTTTCATTCATTAAAAACAATAAATAAATCAATTAAAAAATATATATAATAAGTATATATTATTCTAACTATATTATTATTAATATATTGAAGTCAGTTGAAAAATTTTTATCCTTTAAAATTTTAAAAATAAGCTAGATAGACTCTTGGCATGGTCGTGGGTTCGATTCCCACCAACACCCCTGGCCCTTTTTTCATGCTAAGCCCCCCCCCCAACTATATATGAGGAAATAATCAACGGGATAGTTCTCTGGCTATTATGCAAGCTCATAAGGTCATTTAAAAAAAGAAATACATTTAAAAAATGAATTAATTAAAAAATATATATAATAAGTATATATTAGATTATATTATTATATACAATAGTCAGCTATAAGCCCATAACTTCATATTTTTTTATTTATTTTTGGGTTAGTTATAGGGGTCTCCATAATTTGACTTTATTTTCGTATCTTCATCATGTTTTAATTGAACTAATTTCTTTTCCGGTTTCTCTTTATCCTATTGCTACCCTCTCTCTACCTCAGGGCCATGTCATTTACATATAAAATAACACAAATGCACATAAAACCGAACAAGATAAAACATCATAGTCTGGTTAGTGTTCACACTACCCCGGAATACTAATTGGTCCTTGAAGTAATGGGATATTACATTCACCACTCCTAGAGTATTTAAAATTCCACGTGGAAATGGTAGATAAGCCCCTCCATTCGTGCTAATATATCGCATCATACACTACAATTAATTCTTACTACCCCAGAGTACTCCACATTCCTTGAAGTATGGATTAGCCCTACATTCGTGCTAATAAATTGTATTCAAACACCACAATTCATTCATACTACTCCAGAGTACTTAAAATTCCATTTGGTAAGGGGCAATAAGCCCCTCCATTCACGCTAATGAATTATACTCACACTACCCTATAGTACTTAAAATTCCACATGGTATAGAAGGATAAGCTCCTACATCCATGTTAATAAATTACATTCACACTCACCTGGAGTACTTAAAATTCCGTATGGTAATGGAGGATAAGCCTAATTACATTCTAATAAATCACATTCACACACCACAGCCGTTCATATTACTCCGAGGTATTCCATATTCCATAAATTAATTGGATAAGCCGCTACATTCATGCTAATAAATTACATTCACACTCTCCTAGATTACTTGAAATTCTATGTTGTAATGGGAGATAAGTCCCTTCATTCATGCTAATAAATCACATTCACATACCATAGTTCATTCATACTTATGTACTATTACCTTAATTATTACCTAATTCTAATACAACAAGGAATAAAGAACAAAAATAGAACAATTAATTGATAATTTATAAGGCTGAAGGAGCAGCATGTTATGAGCCCAAAAACTTGTGGGTTAAATGCACTTAATATTTTTATGTATTGCATAAAGTTATGCTTTATTTAAATTGCACCACCTGGAGAAAGTATAGGCTAGAGAAAATTTCTCGTCTGCTTAGAAAACGGTTTGTTTCAATTTGAGCTTTCTTTTTATTTAAAAAAAAATCTAACCAAAATGCATATTCATAGATAATATTTTAATTAAAGCTTTATAAACAAATTGTGCAATAAAACAACAAACGTCACTCTCAACACAACATGCAAGAATGGCACAATCACACAGAAGACAAACACTTTGAGCCCTGAAGATGATCTCAATACAGATCGAAACGTTGGCACGATAAAGAAAATGTTTTTCTGAAACCTACATCACACCAGACCGCATCTCACGATTTCTCAATAATTATTAAAAATTATTAAAACAACAAAACAATACTGAGGTACAAAGTAGGGTTTTAGTGTAGGGTTAATAAAATATTAACATAACTGCCCTTTTAGGTGACTGTAAAGTGTAAATATTATGAAATTACATATTGTACCAACAACAAATGCAGATTTAAGAAAGAATTTAAAAAAGAATCAATCTATTTCTAGAAAATTGTAAATATGAATATAAAAAAAGAAGAAGTTTATTATTGTTGGAGGAGATGGAGCTGGTAAAAATTGAGAACGTATTACGTTTTGTATCTGAACAACCCAATGAAAGTAAAAGATAAGCAAATCTTTATTTACAGTGAATCATCGTCACCAGAGAAAAAATTGCACACTATGAAATTTTTCAAGTTATCACTAGCAAATGGCAAATTTCTGTCAACAGAAAATTATTTTTGTTCTTCTCATTCTCCATACATATTTTAATAAATCCATTTAGTTCATTTGTTTAAATTGCCCCATTAGAATAAAATATGTTGAGGAAACTTTTAGTTTGACTTAATATCAATTGATCCAAAAATTAATGCCACAAGCCCATGACCTTCGGCTCAATACTCTGCTGCTCTAAGCACTTAAGGTATCATGATTTTAATCGTTTTGAACACCAACTCCTCTCAACCTACAACCATTCAAGTATTTCCAAGGGTTGGAATCCTGCTCGTGGCACTAATTTTTCATCTCAACCAAAATCCTTAGATAAAAAGAATAATTAATTGGAATAATGTAATATTAATATGGTCAATTATGACTACTAAGCAAATATGGATTAATTTAATAATTAAAAAGAAGTAACTACTTCACTCCTCGCTTACTTACACTTAATTACTTCACTCCCCATGGCCACTACATAAATCGCTGAGAATCTAATCCTGATTACAAGACGTTTGAAAATATGGCAAAAAGAGGGAATATTTGAATGTAGGTTGAGATGAGGAGTTGGTGTCCGAGGGGATTGAAGTCACGATAGCTCAAGAGGTTAGAGCAGTGGCGTATTGAGCCGTATGTTGTGGGTTCGAATCCCTCTAATTTTTCATCTCGAGCAAAAACCTTAGATAAAAAGAATAATTAATTCGATTAATGTCAATTGTTCACTTAGTGATTACTGATTTATGTAAGGTTAAATCTGCACATGCCATGTACATACATACGTGTGTACAGAGTTGAGCCTATCAATGCTCACAATCCACCGGCAATTCCTGCTTTTGTAATTTACAATAAATTACTGGTTGGCCTTGATAATAACTGATAATCGCCTGTTGGGTGTGGCGGTCCGGAGTTAGACCTTGGTCTTATCCATCAAGACAGATAGGTCTTTGCATTTCAGCCCCCAACAAAATAAGTTCCTTCACCTAAACTCATTCCACCTTCACTCACTTAAACACATTCTTTCTTATTTACATATCATTTGCTCGTTTCGTTTAGGGTGATGGAGAAGTCAATATTCTATTTGAGGGGTGATGGAGTGCTCAATATTGCACCATCGATTCTCTCACACTATACATTTACACTAATAAATACATTCATTCTCAACATACACTTAAGACACAAAACTGCCAGTACTATAAAACACTTTCCAAAATTTGGCTCTTTTTACAAAATAAATTCCCTAAAAAGAACATAAGAAACAAAATCTATCATTTACAGTTTTGTAAGTATTGTAAATCTTGTGTATCTTGTATGGTTGTAACCTTTGATGACATGTACACGCAGTGCGTATCCATTCAGCCACTGAGGTTTGGCTCCAGGGGTATCAACAGCTAGGTCATTTTAGCCCCAACACAATCAGTTCCGAATCAAACACACTCACACTCTTGAATACAATCTTTCCTATTTGCATCATTCACTCAGTTAGGGTGGTGGAGTACTCAATATTCCTCCATCATTCTTTACACCTACTATATGACTAACCTACTTGAGGGTCGATTATTCAATATTCCGCCCTTGACACTCTCACACTACACACTCATGCTAATGGGTGTAGCATTGAGAATGGACATTCATTCTCAACCCGCACTAAGGTACACAATATTATCAATACTATGAAAAATAAAAGGTTTTCTCCAAGAATCAGAAAAGGGGTCCCCCCAGATATTTGCTACCGTGCTCAAGCACAAATCTCATGATGGGTGGCATTCCTAAGCACTTCTATTATGTAGCCAAATTAAATTTGGCTGAACTGATGACCTACCAGACTCCATCCAGTCCTGTAACTATCACCTATATGCCGATGACTCCCAAATATACATATCCTTCCACCCTTCCAATCTTCACTCGGCCATTCTCAAGATCCAAAAAGACCTAAACTCCATCAACGAATGGGCCCATAAAAATTCCCTAGTCCTCAATCCGTCCAAATATACTGCCATAACTATCGGGTCCAGGCAACTCCTCAATTCCCTCCCCAGCATCCCACCTCTCATGCTAAATAACCATCCCATTCCCTTCTGCTCCTCGGTTAAAAACCTAGGAGTAGTCTTTGACCAAAACCTTTCCTGGCATTCTCACATTTCCAAAATTCCCCGGCATTGCATTGCCTCCCTCAGCCTGTTTCATCGGTCCTGGCTTCTCTTATCTTTCTCCACCCGCAAACTCCTTGTATCTTCCCTTATACTTCCCTTCTTTGATTATAGCTGTGTGGCATGCGGTGGTGGCTCGGAGGGGGGAATGCGCGATTGAAGCATATTATGAATTGTTGCATAAGATTTGTGTACGGCACCCCACGGGGATCCCGGGTGTCGGGATTGTATTCCCAACTTTCCTGGCTATTCCCCTCCTTCCGTGCACAGTATTTCTTAGGTTGCTTTCTTTTCCAGTCCATCCACACTCGTCGTCCTCCTTACATCATCCAATCCCTCCAATTCAACTCCTCACATTTCACTAGTAAGACACGCTCATCCCCAATCGACCTTATCCTTCCGCAACATACAGCCCATACCTTCGAAAGATACTTTCTGATCCGAGCCCCTAAACTCTGGAACTCCCTTCCCCTTTCTATTCGTCATGCTGCCTCCTTTTCCTCCTTTAAATCCCACCTGTATAATCACCTCCTCTCCCTCCAAGCGGAGACCTCACATTAACATTTGTTATTTTTGTTTAATATTCTTGTAATTTTCTCTTCTGGCCTGCCTTACTGGTATACATTGTGCCAAGATTTCTATCTTTTAATTTCATATAAGGAACTTCTTTTATTTATTTCATGTACATTATTCTTAAGGGACACCAGTCCCAGAATAAAGTTATTTTTCTTCTTAAATTAAGTTGGACAAATTGAAAAACATTTCTCTGCATGCAGGGTATATACGTGGGCTTTGCCCCAAAAGTATGTGTCCTTGTGTCAATCTCACATTCTTAATCGGGTGAGGAGACCCTTCTTCATTAAGTCAGATCCTCCGAGAGCCACCTATTAACCATGCTCTTGATTCGCAAGAATTTCTCCGCTGTCCTTGCTCACCAATGCTGCATTTATTGCATTTTTAGCATGGGGGGGGATCACAATGGTTAAGTGCGGAGGTTGGGATGTCTTGGCCTTAGCCACCTCATCCACGTTTTCATTACCCAAACAACAACCACCATTTTGCATGAATGGTTGGTATCTCTCCAACTTTATAACAAAACCTAAATTTATTATTATCTAAATTTTAATATAAATGTGTGAGAGCTGAAATTTTGGTATTGTAGGTATGGAATGGCTGGTTCAACAAATGTACAAGGAGAAGAGGTCAAGAAACTGGACATTCTTTCCAATAATCTCTTTGTCAACATGCTAAAATCTTCATACACTACATGTGCTTTAGTCAGCGAGGAAAATGAAAATCTGATTATTGTAAGCAATCTTGCAGTAATATCCCAGCTTTAAATTATTTATATGATTAAATTTTTCATAGGTGGATGAAGAAAAACGAGGAAAGTATATTGTATGTTTTGATCCATTGGATGGATCTTCAAACATCGACTGTTTAGTTTCTATTGGTTCAATATTTTCAATTTACAGGTAATTAAAAATATTTTTCTTTTGTGGTCAAATTTAAATTGATAATTTATTCTAGAACTGATCTACCACAAGGAAAAACAGCGACTCTAAATGATGTTCTGAAGCCAGGGAAAGAAGTGGTTTGTGCTGGTTATGCTCTTTATGGCAGTGCCACGATGCTTGTTTTAACCCTTGGACAAGGATGGGGCGTACACGGTTTTATGTTGGATCCAGTAAGTAACTAGAACAACAAAAACAACGATAAAATATAAATTTATTATTGCTGAACAGGCCATAGGAGAATTTTTACTGACTGAGCGAAACATAACTGTCCCGCTTAAAGGAAAGATATACAGTGTTAATGAGGGATATGCTCATGAATGGGATCTAGGAATGACAGAATACGTCCGAAGAAAGAAAGATCCAAAAGTAAAGATGTTTTAAAATGTATATAAAGTAAATATATTTAACGTGAAATCTGTTTTAGTTAGGAAAGCCATATTCTTCTAGATATGTCGGCTCAATGGTGGCTGATGTCCATAGAACATTGAAGTATGGTGGTATTTTTATGTATCCCGCTAACAAAAGTGCACCCAATGGAAAAGTAACGTCATTTATTTTTTTAATGTTATGTTTTATTTTCTATTTTTTTTTTTTTTTAACTTACAGTTGAGACTTTTATATGAATGTATTCCCATGGCATTGATAATGACTGAAGCCGGTGGAATGGCCATTGATGGGAAGAAGGATATTTTAGACCTGGTGCCGACATCAATTCATCAGAGATCTCCTTGCTTCCTTGGTTCAAAGCAAGATGTTGAAGAACTTCAGCAGTTGTTAAAGTAATCATGTTCTGTTGTTTGTAATAAAGTGTTTTTGTAATTTGATCTTTTTAATGCTACCTTCTTATTTAAGAACTCTTTACAAACTTACACTGTCTTAAAAAAATAAATAAATAAAAAATAAATAAAATAAGAAAGAGTGCTTTTAAAGTAAACCTGATATTGCTTACTGTTTTAGTTAATAATATGTAAAATATTTATTTATTAAGATTTAATATTGCTCCTGGGAAAAGTGTGGATGGGTTGATCTGTGTATTCTTGGGACTAGTTGGATGATCTCATCAGCCAATTTCTTACTACATTTTCTGATTAAACATGTTTTTCTGATATGCCGTCTTCCATTATTTCAACTAGAGTTAAGAGATTTAATCAATTTATTAATATTAATTTTTTTAAATATTTTATTGGCCTTATGATCTTGCATATTAGCCATAGTATGAATTCTTGTGTGTTCAAATTGGGGGTTATCGGGAAAAAATGGCCAGAGGCGACAGTGGGAATCGAACCCACGACCGCGGCGTGAGAGTCTCTCATGCTAACCACTCGGCTACCGCGGTCCCCTATTAATATTAATTAGTTTTTGCTATAAAAGAATTCCTAAAAAGGATTTATAACTAAATTTAATTATTTAAAGACAATTGTTGTACAGAATGAACCTTGTAGTTTTACCATTTGTAAGAGTTTGTTTAGCTCAGAAATAGGAATTTTGATTTGGAAGAAGCAAAGCGGTCAGTTTGTGATTAACCATTGATGATGACCAAATTCAAGCTTTTGTAACCAATGACAGAAGTGACAGTGCAGAAACACTTCATTTCATACAACAATTTCAACGCATTTGAGTGTTGTTTATCATAGCGATGATTTCCTGACATGTTGACTGAGAAGAATTTATTAGACTGCATCTCCATCTACGATTTCCTCTTTAATTTTTTTAGTTTTTTAAAATTATTGATAACGGGATGAAAAGTGGGTCCTTTATGAGTGTTCATAGAGGAAAATCCTGGGGAAAACGCATGCCCCACCATTAATAAATCCACAAGCTGGATGACAAGATTGGAAGGCATGTTTTATTATGAGCTTTTATGCCCGAACAATGGTTAATTCTAGTTTATTTTGCACCCAATTGACCAGTTTTATTCAGCCATTGAACAAAAATGGATGGCATTGCCTAACCACAACGTTCGTCGCACACCTGTGCGTTTGTAGATATGCCAGCAATTGTTAGAGCTTGGCTTGTATGTGCTACCACACTCAGCGTATTCATCTGACATTGCTGCACTTTTTCCAGGTTACGGCCCACTATTGGTGGGAAAAACCTGCAATGACTGCAGAAAATCCATCAAGAAGTTCATTGCTCAAAAACCTGAAAAGTTCTTGTAGATGGAAACTAAAAAATTTATACAGATAGTAAAACAAAATATTTATTAATTGTTGATTAAATTTGTATATAAGTACCTGAAATTTTCATTGAATTTACCACCAAAAAAGTGCTATGGACTTACATATATTATATTTAATCAATCTTCCATCTTCAGTGTGTATGAACAGACCAACCCAGTGAGGAAAAGGGATTCTAAATGATCGATAATGACCAGATTATTAACATAGCCTGAATCTTTGAAGGAGAGGACATCACCAAATCACTCCCCGAGATAAAATGGTCCAAAATCTTGGGGTTTGTGAACAAGACCAAGAGGTTTATGCAGGACACGTGAGCCGACCAAGTCCCGGACCTTTTAGGGATCGGGTACAAGTCTACCCATGCATTTAACCCCTCAGGTCTTGGTCGCCCACCCTGCCTAATATATATAATATAGCCTGAAGAAAGAAATATTCTGCTTTCCCCACTATTGTTATGGCATTGAATTTCAATAAAAGCGGAAGAACTAGAAATCAGAGGAAAAAAGCCCAAAAATGCATAATTTGCTATAAAAATTTGTATCTAAGGGTTTTAAAAATAGCTTAAGGTGGTGAAATGCTGAAACATTTCTGACCAACCAATACAGTGAGGATAAAACGATCAATATGATGAGTAAAGGTCAAATTTATCACCTGGCAGACCTTAGGAGGAAATCTCAAGATTCAAAATATTGTAGTTGTTTCTCTTAGGAAAAGGTCAAATAGATCTCTAAAAATATTCAATTATTTAACAAAAATGTCAGTAGGTTCATATGATTTATTTAAGCAAGTTTTTTTTATTGTTAATAGATTTGAGTAATCCGATTATCAACATTACAATGGCATCAACTCAAACACCTTATATCCTTTTCAAGGATTCTAATGTCGTTGAGACTCTTCATCTGTACATGTCCAATCTGGAGCACCTTGCCACCGATTCTTGCGGACAGTTGTCAACCCTCATCTCATTTTTACAACTTGCGATTAAAACCGTTGCCCACAGGCTGCAAAGGCTAAAACTTGGCAACTTGTGAGTTGAACACTATTTTGTCTTAACGTTTCATCTAGGTTTCATGGTTTTTTAGGCTTTCATCTTTCAATTATTGGACCCTAACTTGTGAAAAGGTCCCATCAATAATAAATGATGAATTCATACACATTTTGACCAACTCTGGCTGTTGCTATCAGATAATATCTAATTTGAACGATGAACCGATTTCTGTAAATATCTCTTTAGGAAATTTTGATAAGGGAACTTTTAAAAATATTTGCTTCAGATTGAAAACGCCAAGCAAGGGAAGTACATAGTTTGTTTTCAAGGCATAAATCTCGATGAAAGGAATATCGCATGCGATTTACCCACAGCGTCCATTTTTTCAATATACAGGTTTGTCCTTTTATTATATTAAAACCAATTTGTTTGAATTGTTAGGTTTGTAGAAAGGAGATGAAGGAAGAGGAAGATACACTGTTCAGTCAGACGTTGTCAAATCTCAAGGAAGAATATTTAGTCGCCTCAGGGTACGCTATATACGGCGCAAGTGTCAATGTTGTCATAGGCATTAAAAATTTTGGTGTTACCCACTATGTTTTGGACCCTGTAAGAGAAAAACAACTAGAAATTATTTTATTTTATTGAGCCGGGTAAAATTTCCGTGCAGGTTTTAGGAGAACTAGTTGTAATGGAAAAACATATGAAGATACCTCAGAAAGCGAGAATTCTATCGATAAATGAAGGTAACGAATATCTATGGGAACCTCAGATAGTAGAGTACTTAAAGAAAAGGAAAGATCCAAAAGTAAGTGACAAATGAATTTCTTAAAGTATATTTAACCAAGAATATCCATTTGTAGACAACTTAGAAAGAATGTTCAATGCAAAATGTACATGTACATGTGTATATATACGTGTATATATATATATAATTTGATGATTTTTACAAGCCGACTAAAACCCTGTTACACAAGACTAATAAGTGCCTGAGCATTAGCAATGAAATATTTAAAAAAATGAATAAAAAATTATAATACATGTTTAATTATTATTATAATTTAAAACAGCAAGGAATACCACTGAAGTCGCGGTTTACTGGTTGCTTGGCTGCTGATTTCCACTGTGTTCTCAAGACAGGTGGTATATACCTCTGCCCAAGTACTCGAAAGATGCCACATGGACAAGTAAGACAAAATAAAAATAACCCCCCCAAAAAAAATAATAAAAAAATTTCAGCATTCTTTGATATGTGAGTGCATCCCGCTTGCATTCCTGGCCCTTCTTTGCGGAGGTGCGGCAACAACGGGAAAAACTAACATTCTAAATGTGCATCCTGAAAAATTGAAACAGCAAACGCCGTTTTTTATTGGCTGTGGTGAAGAGGTTTACGATTTGTTACATTTGTCAAATCCTTGAAATGAGTAAGAAAATTGCAGTGTATTGCTTAAAATAAAGAAAAATTACAGCAAAATATGGCTCAAATCATTACTTCATTAACCTAGTCAAATCAAATGTCCAGTACGACAAACATTCTACAATTTATATAAAAACATAGGGAAAATTAAAAACAAAATATTAAAAAAATTTATTTTTCAATATATGAATTTTATACATTTACTAATATACATGTTACTTTAATTAAAATGAAAATCAAGTGTAGACTTGGTCAATTACTAGCAATCGAGTAATTAAACGATTCAGCCTAGTGAAATTATATAAATTATATACCTTAATTTTGAAAGAAAGCTATGAACATTAACTTTTTTGTTTAAGAACATAATGCTACAAACTGATGGAAAATATCTAATATATGTGGATCTAAATCCTGAGTGAACAACAATGTCTCCAACGTGCTGCTGTATTTCTGTACTTGCTCATGATGCTGAAAATTAAAAAAAAAAAATAAAATAAAAAAATAAAGAGCCGTTTATATTACTTATACAACCAACTTACAGCTAAGAAGACATGCTGCAATCTCCCAATTGTCCATCTGTACCAGTGATTGTCAAATTCTTTATTGTCCGTATCACATCGGACTAGATGTTCAGACAGAATCATTATGAATCTCTGGAAAAAATTAAAATAAAGATAAAAGGATTAAATAAAATAATATTTAATTTTGTTCGAAACGAACCTGAAATATAATAAGGAAAAGATTTTTTTGATCTCCTTGGGCTGTCTCAAGCCTTTCTTCCATCCTTTCGACCATCTCTTCTGTCGGTTTGTCATCTCCCCGACCACCCATGCTATCATCGCTGTCATCCCCTGAAGAACTTCCTCCACCACCAGATCTGGCCAGTTTCTCCCTGGCTTCAGCGAGTTCGCGACTTTGCCTCGATACATATTTGCTCATCTTGTTAATCGTCAAATGTAAAATTTCCCATATATACATCCTAAAATGAGTTTTCATTGTAAGTACCACATAACTGAATTTTGAAATAGTTTTATTAATTACTTTGTAAAATCATGAGACATCTCCTTGGAGAATATCCAATTGGCGACAGCCGAACATTCAAGTAATTGAATTTTGAGCATTTTATCTATCAGCACACAAATCATTTGCTGATGATTTCTCCAAAGCTCATAAATACTTCTAAGAATACACAACTGAGCTTCTTCCCCATCTGCTAATAACTGAAAAAATAAAATGAAAATTATTAAAAGTCAAAGCACACAAAGTTAATGTACTATACCTTGAAAACTTGATTGAATTTTCCGATTGCAGCAAAAGAATGGGAGAAACTCTTGGATCCGAGGTAGAAAAGCGTCTGGACAAAGACATCAATTTTTAAGGGATTGTATCTTGCCTCAGGGCCTTCGTCATCTTCAAGGGGGTTAGGGAGTTCCCTGAGGATGCCGAGAAGGTCTTCAGGGCTACATCTGTTCTTTATAGCTGCCATGAGCTGCTGGGCCACCTGGGTTCCAACTAGGCTACCTGGAATCAAAGGGAAATTGCTTGTTAGCTGTTACCACATATTCATTTAAAATAAAAAAAATAGTTATTATACGAGCCTTTACATCACTACTATGATTTATTTTCAAAATTCATGTACTATGCGATTCAGTGGTTTCCACAGATGAAACGCACATCATATAAGAATAAATATGTAATTCTAGTTGTTAAGTTATTGCATTTGTTTGACCAGAGTAACTTCAAAGTAAATATGCAGGCATATAATGAAAAGAGGATTAACAAGTTTAAAAGTATAACTAAGTCACAATTATGCATTTGTTGAGACAATAGGAAGAATCCTACTGCTATCTTGATTGCTTTTGGTCAACTTGGCTAGCGACTCATAATTACCCAAAAAAAGGCACCTAATATGAAGGATTTCATGGCGAGATCTCGATGCCATCATCTTTGAGGCGATGTGGCCGGTTCTTGGGTTGGGAAAGTGTGGATAAGCTTGAGTGGCAGGGTCAGGATGGATGGACATCTTCGTGTGGAACGTTTGGAAGTAGAATCAGATCAATTTGCTGACAAATGGAATGTTGTGGAGGTTAGTATTGTAGTAAGGAGCTTTGGCAATGGCAGGACTTTTGATTGCTAGTAATGGTTGCATTGGATATTGGAACACCACTATTCAACTGCCTACATCCAAAATAGTTGCAGTAACATCTTGTAAGGGGTTAGTTGTGTTCTGATGGTTAAAACAGATTTTGGACCCAAAAGACTTCATAGTTGTTCATGTGTTCTGTTAAATTGTTGCTTTTTAAGCGTCATGTGTGGATTCCATGTCAGTTGGATGTCTATGGATAATTTTAAGTATTAGGCTTGAGTGGAGCCCTGTAGTTCCGAGGGTAAGACCGTTTTTCAAGGTAAATCTTCACTGTGAACAATTTTCTTCATTCAATATTGCACTATCACTTTTTGCACCAGTCTTTGATAAGTTCAAGGATGCTGGAGGTTGCTTAATGGGGTTCGGGTTAGAAGACATAATTGGAGTTTTATCTGTTTAGGCAATATCGGGATGTAAGTCTAGTCTTAGGGCATTACAAAAAGATTTGTCAACCTCACGACTGGTGGAGGAAACTATAGATCTTATCAATAGGATCTCTTTCAGGTTTGAGAATAAGGTGGCCTAGCCAAAGAAGGTTCTAATACTGCGTTTGTTGGGCCACAACCGGTATTACTTCACTCTATGAGCACAGCGAAAGAGAGTATCAATAACTGGGGCATAAAACAATTCCTAAGGGAGTGGAATTTATCCCCCGGATACAGGCAATCGAAAGAGTTTGTTAAGGCGATCAAACCAGCAGAATTGAAATGGCTATTCTCTATCTCAAGGAAGGGAATTAGGAGGCTGATAGGTATTCTGACGGGCCACTGCCAACTGAGAAGACACCTCTTTGTAATGGGTATTCTACCAGATCCCTTTTGCCGTTCTGCGAAATAAAAGAAGAAACGGCAAGGCCTCGCAGGTAGGTATGCTAGGTCTAGATTTGAAATCTTTGAAGGAGAGGACATCACCAAATCACTCCCCGAGATAAAATGGTCCAAAATCTTGGGATTTGTGAACAAGTCCAAGAGGTTTATGCAGGACACGTGAGCCGACCAAGTCCCGGACCTTTTAGGGATGGGGTACGAGTCTACCCAGGCGTTTAACCCCTCGGGTCTTGGTCGCCCACCCTGCATAATATATATATATATATATATATATATATATCGGGATGTAAGTCAGCAGTGCAAAAGATACATAGAGGATGGGACCAAGATTGTTCCCTTGTGAGCCGGTGGCATGTATTGGTCTTATAAATGATTAGTCATTGCTGCACCTAATGTTGAAGCAGCGATCAGTTAAAGAAGATTGAAGGAGAGGATAGGGTTTAAGTTTATAGGAGGTGCCCAGGTGCCAGACCGTATTGAAAATCCGCACCATATCCAGGAATGCTCTCAAGCAATACTCTTTGTTCCCTGGGGGAGAGGACCACACTGTCCGAGTGGTTCGGGTGTCTGGCTTGCATTTGCTATGCTAACAGTTCTGGGTTCAAATCCCGTCAGAACCTATAGCACTTTAATTGAAAATGGGATGAAAAATGTATTGACAAGTGGTGTGACTCCCCGTTTGCACCACCCAATGGGTAGTTGAACGTTAAGCCCTTTTGTATGACAGGAATTACTTCCCTTGTAACTTTTTTTACTCATTGTTCTATTCGGCAGAGGAAACAGAGGAATGTGTCAAAATGTTATTAACTTTTAATTTAAGCTATTTATTATTCTAGGGTCACTCCAGTCCCAGAATAATTTTTTTTCTTCTTCTTCTTCTTACACTAAACATTTAAAGGAGTCTTTAAAGAAGTTTGGACAACACGGCAAGAAGGTGTTATTATTAAAATAAAGTATTCTGGTTATGTAAGGTCTTGGTTGAGATAAAAAAGTCAGTGTCACGAGTGGGATTCGAACCCACGACCTTCGGAGTGACACGTGACTTTAACTTTTTCATCTCTGAGAGGATCAAAGTCACAATAGCTTTAGTGGTAGAGCATTGGCGTATTTAGCCGAAGGTCATGGGTGATTAACTTTTTCATTTCAACCAAAACCTTACATAAAAATGTTAATTAATTGAAAGAGGTAATTTGGTCAATCATACCACTAAATATAATGGTATAGTATGTACTATTTTTTCTTAAATCGAATTTCCTCTTCCTTTATTTTTCTGAGCAACATGCAATAATTGATGCCCATATTCTTTCATACAACCTGATGTTTCAAGACTAAAATGATCAGTAACGACCAATCTACAATTAATTTAGTTACATGAAAATCAATGTTAAAAGAAACTTCGTTATAATCAGAAAATAATTGTTTTATGAATGCATCTTTCAGGTGGAACTTTCAAAAGTGCTGTTTAATTTTTTTTGTCAATTTTATTTTTAGGTCAAACTTCCTAATCAGACGATTTTATCCACCTCACAATGAAATCAGAGTGACAAAAAGCCGTTTAACAACACCGAACAGAATCACAGATCGTATTTAGTTATGAAAATGAACAGGAAAAGGTACAAAAATTAATGATCGAAGGAAACTTTGTAACTCATTGTTCCTGTCTACGGATCCTCCGGAGATAGACACGCTCTTCTGGCTGCCAATAAAGAAAGCAGAAGAATCATTTAAGTCATTGTCTCCGAACCATTCAAAACCAGAGATAATGGGGAAACGAGAACATTTACAAAGTAACTGTTTCAATTACGTTATTTTATGAGAAACACTAAACAAACACATAAATATCATGATAATTAATGTTGATAATAATGTGTTATATGCTAGAGAAAAATCAAAGGAAACTTAAAGAATATGTAATAAATTAGTGGGGTTTATTCATTGAAAGGGAAAGGTATTTACTATTGCGTACGAGAGTGAATAAACGTTGCTTCATTGTGAGAAAAACGTGACGCGGCTTATAGTTGTTCCTGAGAGGATAAGGATTATCTATTATGAAAATATTCTCCTAAAGTTAATTTAATTGGACGGATTGAAGCAATCTAAAATATTGACGGAAATTCAACCGACAGTACCTTTAATCATGTGCTTGACCTTTTTTCTCGACTCGGTGATGGTAGCTAACTGGCAAAATAGTTAAAAATAAAGCCATGTAAAGTTTTAACATACGTCGTCGCGGATTTTTGTCTAACGTGAAAAATTAGATAAAACAGATCGTACGTGTAACTCTATTCCATGAGAGTAATTACTACATTTCAGAGAAAGCGTTTATTATTGGTTTGTTTATTATGACGTGAAAGTAGATTGAAATAAAAGCCGATCTTTGACTGTAGGACACTCATTGGGAAAAAACCGAGAGAAATTTACAGGCGTATCAATTTCGCTTAATATAATAAAACGGGGAAAATATATTATCTTAAGTACAGCTAAAGAGAAATTTTTTGACCTATTATTGCTCATTTCCAGGATCAAGCACTATAATCTTCAGATATAGGTCAAAACAAGACTACTTAGTAAAAACAGAGTAATTTCTAATCTAAATATCTAAATATAAAAGATCGGCAGAGAAGCTTTCACATATCTAGAATCAATAGGTGGCTCTCCCAGGATCGGACTCGTAGAAAAGGGATAATCCTCACTCGATTAAGAATGGGCGAGGTTGAAACATGGACACTTGGGGGCCAAGGCCGTGAATATGTCCGGCATGTAGAGAAAGGTTGTTCGATGTATCAAATATGTACTTGTAACTACAATGTACTTAATTGAACAGCGGTTATTCCTTGGTTCCATTCATAAAGAGAGCGCGTAGTAATGCCATCAGATACGAGAATTGTGATTGAGCACACCTGCAAATATTTGGGTTCCCTGTTCTTGGAGACAACATGGTTGTTTTATTGTACGTAGTACCATAATAGTATTAGTAGTATTGCGTATTCTAGATTGGGTTGAGAATGAATGCATTTATTAGCGTGAATGTGTAGTATGAGGTCTAGGGGCGAAATATTGAGTATCGTTATCGAGTTAGGTTAATCTATAATAGGTGTAAAGGGTATGAAGGAATATCGAGTCCATCATACTAACTAGCTGAATATGTAAATAGGAAAGATTGTATTTAAAAATGTGAGTGTTTAGATTTTGGAAGTGATTTGGTGGCTGAAATGAGCTAGCGGATGATACCCCTGGAGCCCAACCTCGGTTGCTGGACGAATTAGGCCGAGTTCTGACCAAGGACTGCCAACTCCCGGGATGAGTGACAATCAAGACTTGTACGCGTTAAATGTAGACCCCTGAGTGTACACAGAATAAAAAGAACACAACAGCTCAAGATTTACAATACTTACAAAAGTGTAAATGATAGGTTTGGTCGATTTTTGATAATTTGTTTTTTAAATAGAGCCAAATTTGGGAAAGCGTGTTGTACAGTTTGAATGTTATTCGGTAAAATAAGCCATATCCGATTATGGTGTAATTCTAGCCAAATCTGCACAAATCAATAATCAAATTGCTTAAAACTACTCTACCTTAAAAAAAACAATTGCTAGTTAAAATCGGACAAATACGGCCATTTATTAATTTTACTCTGATTAATAAATATAATGATATTAAATAACGCTTAAGCCCACTCGTCAGTGTTATAGTTTATAACTAGTCAACCTCGTAACTTTTAAAGAATGAGTTCAAACTCAGCTTGTGTGGTAGTGTAGCAAGCTGCTGGCCTCTTTGTTCGAATTGCTTTGAAGACTTATATAATGCATATAAGTATGCCAATCGTAGAATTTTATTTTGAAACCGTTGTATTACTTCTTTTGGCACAACCCTTGAGTTATATGCCATACATAGATAGATATATTAATTAGGGTGTGTATTATACTGTGTCCTTTAAGTGCTATTGTACCCCCTTCTGTGCTTAAAGCACTCCGGTAAGTCCTAGTTCATCAAGGAACTTGATTTGTAGGTCCGGTTTCAGTGGTTGAATCTCTTCTACGGTTACGTTATATGTCCCAAAATACTTCCTCCTGCGGGCAGGTGTAGCACCACAGTTTGTTACTACTGTGTTGGTGTCACATCTGTTTCTTTGCTGAATCTGCACGTGCCGTGTTGGGTTATGCCAATCTTTTTCAGATGTCCGTTTAGTTTGCAGTGTCTTATTTCCTGTTAGGATTCGCAGTTTTTCCTGCTTACTTTATACATTCTGTTACGTCTTTCAACCAAAGTTTGTTAGGAAGTTCTTGGATTGTTTGTGTCCAATGAGTGAGTTCCACTGTTCCCTCGTTTTTTTTTTTTAAATCCTGTTCATTCCTTGTCATAGAAAGGTAAGCCATACATCCATATATTTTATAATATATGAGTGTAAATCATGTTTTTATTTTGTGTTGCTAGTCGAGAATTCTTTCCCAGCAACCAATAAATAAATAATTTGAAGTTAAGTTTCTTTTCCTTTTTGATGTGTTCATTCCAATTTGATTTTTTATCTAGCCTAATGCCTAAATGACTGAATTAAAATGGCACCATTTTACCACTGGAGGCGATTGATTTATCTAACTAATTTTCTATTTGTGAAGTTAACATGTACAGATTTTGGTCTTTTTAAATATCTGTTTGGTTACGATGTTGATTATTACGTTCTTCCACTGAGAGGCAGCAGTGTCTTGGGGAAATGTTGCGATCGTTGTTTTCCATCTGTGTTAAGTTACTTGTATACAGAAAGTACAGTAGGGGGCCTAAGATGCTACCTTGTGGTACCTTGGAACAATCTTTCCGAATGGTCAAAAATTCAATATAATAATAATGTCTTTGAAATAGTGTTTTTAGCTCGTGTTGAACCTTATCAAAGCTTACGATACGTCTAGGTATAAAACTGAACTTATATTTTTATTTTCCAGAGCTTTCTCTGTAAGATTTAGAAATGGAGGCTGTAAGTGTAACGTTGGTATTTCCGCTGTTTACTCGATCAGATTTAGTCCCAGGGTTGGGGACTTCTGAATGAAAATGACTAATAATTGATGCTAACTTAATTTTGAAAAAGCGTTTAGTCTATTCCTGAATTTTATCCGGGATAACCGAAGACTTTTAAGATAGCGATATCAGGTTTGGCTGACTTGCCAAGAAGACAGATCTCACTGAACTGTAAATAAACCACTTGTTTGGCAACATTCATAATATAATATTTTTCCCCCAAAACAAGGTCTTAAGGATCTATGTGACTATGTTAGTAAAATTATAAAAGTATTACATAAAAGGAAGTTAACGCCAATAAATGGACAGCGGGAAATGTCCTGGCAGTTTCACTTCCATCACTCGGACATAAAATTCCTTCAAAACTATTATGTTTTGGATTGGGTAAACACGAGTTTTCTTCCTCTTTTTTTTCTCAACAACCTTTAGCAATTTCCGGCTTTCTCACGTTTTTATTGGAGCAGTTTGTGGACGAGAGGATGAAAATAATTAAGCTTCATCGTGGATCCCCCTTGGAAAAGAAAAACGTTCATATACGGGATGGTAAATGACGACGAACCTTTCACTCGAAGAAAATGCGATTGTAGGATGTTGCAACGAACGTTTGAAATCGTTCAGAGAAGGAAAGAAATCATTTCAGAGATTGAGATATCAACTCGACTGAAAAGGCGATCATCTGATGCCGTTAAGGATTGACCAAGGGTTTACTTCATAAAGTTCAAAAGAAAAATTGCTTATTTACCATATAACCGGCCAAATATTGTAAGATTCTTTATATAAAAAGTACTCAGTTATACGATAATCATCGTAATTTGCATGTTTACAATCTGTCTAATATTATAAAACAATTAAGGAGTTAATTGGCCGTAAAAGTTGATCTTTTGATCCTTGGAGTCAAAAGGATGATGCCCAATAATGGTTCTCGATATAATATGTTTCTTTGTCTGCGTACGACTAATTAGAGAGTCCTAGATTTTCGCAGCGTCCTTCCCATGCTTCTCACAACATGGAAACGCAAGAGTGAGGGGTGGGATGAAACATTGTATTGAGAAAAACACTAAGGTCATTTGGCAACGTCAAAAAATCCCTCAGAGAAGTTCGTTTTCATCGTTAAACATGGAAGTGAACAATTAGAATTTAGGAGAGATGAACGGACACTTCTGACCTTATGTTTACTGGCATTAAAAATTAACACCTATGCGGCAGCAATAATGAAGCATAGCCTTGATTGTAGCCCCAGATCACTCTACTGTTCTTGTAAAGCTAAAAACTAATATTTACACAACAGTTTTGTCACTGGAAAAAAAATGACTTATTGGTCAAATTGGTCGTTTTGGATCCCTTGTACCCTGAGTTGTGCCGTGTGTTAGTATCCTTCCCTGGTACTACGATGATTCCAGGTGAAAAACTAGACTCTGGTGTGATGTAGGTTTCAGAAAAACATTTTCTTTATCGTGCCAACGTTTCGATCTTTATTGAGATCATCTTCAGGACTCAAAGTGTTTGTTTTCTGCGTAAGTGTGCCATTCTTGCGTGTCGTGTTGAGAGTGCCAGTAAGATAGATATAGAATGTGCAAGAATGGCACACTTACGCAGAAAACAAACACTTTGAGCCCTGAAGATGATCTCAATAAAGATCGAAACGTTGGCACGATAAAGAAAATGTTTTTCTGAAACCTACATCACACCTGACACCATCTCACGATTTCTGAATAATCATCGACTAACGGTCACTAATCACCACACATTTCTTCCACAGTGTACAATTTTCGGCAAAAAGCCATGGAACAAAACAATTGGGTATCCGAAATAGCGGGGTTTTGGACTGGTGTTCTGGCCGAAGAAAAATTTAATTAATTTGTGAAATGTTCTCACTATTTCTTTACGATTATTGTTAAATAATAAGATAAGACTTGGAAAACTGAGAATCTTGCATATGGAGATCTTATGAACAATGATAGCGTCAAGCCAGTTCTTGTTGTACATGTTTTTGTGAGGCAGTTTTAGTTGTATAAATTGAACTAATAAGATTATTTATTTTATATGAAAAAAAGGAGGACATTTTGTAATTTTGCAAATGGGATATGCTGGACAAACACGACAAAAATCACGCATCAAAAGAACATTAACATGGACAAGAAACATTTTCTTTAGAAAACAAAGCATGGTGAACCATTCGAGATATTTATGTCCAATGATGCCCTATTTGGCCAATTAACTTAAAACAGTTAAAAAAACATGGAATGAACCCGAAAAATAGCAGACACGATAGCTTTTAGTTTTCTCTTTACTTGAAATAAGGGGGTGTCTTATTTCATGCTAGGCTGCCAGGCTTGTTCGTCGTGAGATCCACTACTAAAGATGGCGAAAAGCCGAAACGCGACTTATAAGTCCAAAACAGAGAAAACAAGACACATTCTTGAGATTTATTTTGGAAAATTGGTGATATAATCGAATAATTTGTAGTGGGGTTAGGTACTAGTTAATAATTCAGCTTAGAGGTCGAGGTAAAAGTTAGATTTCACATGCCATAGGCCAAATCATAATTTTTATCAACAGGGCTAACTAGATCACGCTTGCTTGGATATCCTAGGTCGAAAAAGCCCCTAACTCCATAACACCCTCGTCGAGGTGCACACGATAGAAGAGTGGGGCCCGAACGCCGCAAAGTGGAAAGGTACAAATGGTACAATAACGCGCAAGAGCTCATTGTGGGCAGAGCCAGAAAGTGTGAAAGTGCTACCCCGCCGGCCTCACAATCGAAGAAATGCTGCTGCTGCCGTTCCTACTGTTTTTGCAGGTAAGCGATATAATTCATTCGTTCCTTGGGAGTTTTTGTTCTTTTTTATTGCGGGTGGAACAGAAGTTTGCAAGGTCGTTGAAGGAAAGTGAACTCGGACAAGAGTAGCCTCTGAAGTCACAGGCGTAAAAACAAACAAAAATTTTGCCAATAAACTGTTGTTTTTTTGGTGTACATTTTTTTAAAGCTTTCTAAGTTAATAATTTAACCTAGGAAATGCTAAAAACGCTGAAAAACAATTATGTAAATTAATAATTAACCTAGTATAAACTAAACACAGTTCATTAGTACATGGAATAGAATAAGTGAAGAAAGAGCTAGAAAACTCTAAAAAAATTTATACACAAAATTTTGGTTTAATCCTAATATACCCTTATATTAAATTCTATAAGTTATTCGGAAATAGTGAGATGCGGTCTGGTGTGATGTAGGTTTCAGAAAAACATTTTCTTTATCGTGCCAACGTTTCCATCTTTATTGAGATCATCTTCAGGACTCAAAGTGTTGGTTTTCTGCGTAAGTAATTCTTGCGTGTCGTGTTGAGAGTGCCTCATGGGCCCAGAATGGCACACTTACGCAGAAAAAAAAACACTTTAAACCCTGAAGATGATCTCAATAAAGATCGAAACGTTGGCACGATAAATAAAATGTTTTTCTGAAACCTACATCACACCAGACCGCATCTCATGATTTCCGAATAATCATCGACTAACGGTCACTAATCACCACAAAATTCTATAAGGTTTTGTGAAAGAAAATAATTTGAAATCAATTGAAATTCTTACAAAAATTTCTACAAGCTACATTTATACTTACTTTTTCCTTAAGGGCACAATATAATACACACCCTGACTAATCATACACACATCTACTTTTTCTTTACAAAAATTTCCGAAATTTTTATCATTAAAACATAAATTATTTCACAGTTTCAATGAACTGGTTTTTTTTCAAACAAAGAACTTTAATTCTACTCACCCAAAAAATGAGACTTCTCGAAATTAATTTGATTCGATTTTTCTGAATTTTTAAATTGACAAACTATACATTCCTCCACAAGAAATCATTAACCAGCAAGCCAAAACCATAATTGTACCAAACTTGCTCAAAATATTATCATTATTTCGATTAGTTGTCATGAATAAATGAAATAATTAAAACTGATTAAAAAGAGGAAAATACCAAGTTTAACAAATTATAGTCTAATTACATTTTGAAATTTTGTTTTGAGTAATGTACAATTACATTAACATTAAATTATTTTATGTTATTTAAATAGATAATGCAACTCATTATTCATTAATTACTCATTATTACTTCCGGGTGTGAGGGTCTTAACTTCTTATTTTTCAACCTATTTGGTTCTAAGATTAGTATGATCTCATAACCCCACAATATTCCGACACATACCCCATAAGGCCGTAGTTTTCTTAAACTAAATAAAACTCAATCATACTACCTCTCACTTTTTCCTTCTATGGAAATACTCCATTATCATACTCATACCTCAACCTCAAAGTCCACCTAGTCACATATCCTCCTAGGCCTATCGGCCTTTCACTGAGCAAAGTCCAAAATCACCAAAGCCTCCTTTTAATACGGCTACTATCCATCCTAAATTTACATAAAACCATTCGTCCTTATCACTTCGGTTTTCGTTCCTCGTCATCTCACTTCAGGGTGGTGGAGGTTCTTGCAACTAAGACAGGAAAAACCGCAAGCAAGATCCTACACTAAGGAGCCGCTGGCAGAGCTACGGAGGCTGATTAACAACCTGAAGATGGCCAGTTATAAAAAACAGGGGAGCACAATACATAGATCTATTCAGGTCGAGTTGCAAAAGGCCGTCACTTTTATCCCTATCCATATGCTTCAGGGTTGATAGCACTACATACACTGCTTTAGACCACAGGCACATGGTAAACCAAAGGTGTTGGCTGTGGCACCCAGGTGTTCTCTTTAAACTAAAGCAGTTTCTACCCAATATTATAGCCAATCGCTGCTTCTGAGTAAGGTGTGGCAGTGTCTTCCCGGAGACAAAACTCCGGCGTCAATCAAGGAATTACCGACATACATGTAAATGAAATACTTAAGATTAGACCTAGACAAAGGACTGGCATGGAATTTGTGTGTGTTATTAACCTCTTTAATTTTTTAATTTAATCTTTCCATTTCAATTGTAGAAATAAAACTTTGCTTTCTATATTTTCATCTTATTTGGTCATAAGGTGGACACGATATCTATCCCTCATAACGCCGTCCTTTTTTTAAACCAAATAAAACTGAATCATATACCTCTCACTTTTCCCTTCTATGGAAATACTCCATTAACTACTCAAATCTAAACCGCATAATCAACTAAGTCACTTATCCAACAGACCCATCAGCCTTCACCCATTGATGACTACAATCCTTGAAGGATTCCTTTTAAAAGTTCAATACCCACCCTAGATTTACTCAAAATCTTTCCTCCTCATCAATTCGGTTTTCGGCGAGGGGTTATTAAAAGTACAAATTTCCACCGCTTTAGAGAACAGCGAGACATGTCGAAGCTTTTCAAAACTTGGGGCACCGGGAGTTCTCTTCAACAAGAGCAATTCCTATCTTATCCTTATTACCAAAATTGGAAACCTATCTTAAAGATCGTTGTTTTAAAATAAGGCGCGGAAATACAACCGATCCAAGCCGGCGTCCCACAAGGGAGCACTCTTGGTCCCATCCTATACACCGTTTAAACTGCTGTTCGAATCCCAGCACCACCCCGCTTTTAATTGACAATAATAAATTGATTGTAAAGTGGTTTGACCCCTCGTCCGAGATAACCAACGGGTAGTTAAACATTAAGCCCTCATGTATGGCAGAAATTACTTTACTTTTTACCCGTTATATTTCGTGGTCCGATCGACCAAATAACTTCTTTCAATTAATTAAACTTTATACAAGGTATTGGTTGAAATGAAAAAGCTAGTGTCACGAGCGGGATTCGAACCCACGACCTTCGGCTACTTTACTTTTTACTTTTACTTTACTTATTGCTGTTCTGCCAATCCATTCCGGACGATACCGCAAATACGGACAACCCAAGCGACCTACAATATCCAGGAGAATTTTGAGATTATCGAAGAATGGTACAAAAAATGGAAGTTAATATTGAACAAAAGATTGAGAGAGAGAGAGAGAGAGAGAGAGAGAGAGAGAGAGAGAGAGAAAATTACGACCTTCACACAAATGTAATAAAAACCCACTGAAGCATCAAGAACAAAACAGAAAACTTGACAACCAAGAAGACTGCTAGAACCTAAATCAGAAATGACTAATAAACAAACTATCACTCTACCAAATAATAATTCGACCTATTTGGACATATGGAGTAGAACTGTAATGTAACCAATGTCCAACCCATTCAAACAATCAAATCAAAAACCATCAGAAGAATGCTCCAAGCGACCCACATTTCTAACTCCCTATCCACAATGACCTAAAAATCCCCTGTTCAAGTTTTGATCATTGCCCGCTTCCTGAAGTTCTACTGTAACCTATTGTCTCACCTAACCCTTTCCGTTCCTTCTTACTATCTCTCATCCTCAGAATCCTTCACAGTGAGGCTGGTTTTTTAAAGCATGTGTCCTCCGGGTGCAAAGCTGCCGCAGGGTTGTGATCGGGTGAAAATCAGAAGGACAAAATTTGCACGAATATATGTGCATTATACTAACAAAAAATGTTAGGGTTATCCAATCTAATAATTAAATCTGACTAGAACTTCTCGTTCTAATATAATAAAATTTCAATTTGTTATTTCTTTATTTTGATGAGACATTAGATTTTTCCTGTTTAGATTGCTCTGCGAAACTTGGCAGCCCTTTTTAATCGGATTTTTTTGTGAGCATTTCACCTGTTAATACCGATGGCTCACAAAAAGTCCCGACGAAACCCATAATCACCGGCTACGCATTTATTCAAACTTTCAAAATGGGGATAATTGATTGTATGCGTCGAGGGAGAGAGTTTGAACAATCTACCTAAAGTAAATCCCCAATTGACTTTCGGTTTTATATAAAAGCCCGGACACAATGGGCGACAAATTCTAAAGTGTTTGCGTTTTTACACCGGCCAATTTGGCCACTTTTACCGAGCGGATTCTTCCTGGTCCTAAAAATTGCCAAAAATTTCGTTTCAATGTCACAACTTTCCACTTCAGTGGGCGTTGCAACAGCTCATAGTTCGTGCGTGAAGCGTGTTTGACACAACACCAGCATACGAGTGATAAAAAGTATTTCAAGAAAAAAAAGTCAATAAATGAAACGTTTCAAGTAAACTTTTTTTCGTTAAAAAATGAATATCCATCCAATCTGGATATGCAGTTTTATTCTGGGTTCAGGATGGTAACGGACGACGTTTTCGATTGGAAGAGAATTAAAATTGTAATAGACTGGAGTGAGAGTAAAGTTTAAGTACAATCTGTTCTTTCTGTTGTTTGTTCGTTTTTGGTCATTCTGGTATGCCAGACGCGTTTTGGAATTTCATCATCTCATTTTCATCATTCATCAACATTTCATCATCCAACAGCGAATCCTCAGAAACACCACTAGACAAATATATCACTGACGCACCCCTTTCACAAACTTATAAAAAGAAATCAAATGAGAAAAATAATGCCAGTGATTATGGCGAGAAACCGAAACCCGTCTGACAGATCGAAACAGCGAGGTTGAGACGACCCGATTGATCGGGAAAGGCTTATCACATATCGCAAGAAGAAAAATTACTTGGCCATGTTGATTATAAAATAATCGAAACGAAAAATCACGAGAAAAACTTCGCCAGTTGTAGAAATTTGGTCTGGTTTTCATAAAATATATTTCTAGAAAGGGCCTTTCCGTTTTCTTAACAGTTACACTTGTTCGGCACGAAAAGCGTGTGAGAGAACTGAGCATTATCCGGTATTGGCTTTACGAAATCCAGTAACAGTCCCTTTTCTAGTCAAAAGGTTGGTCAACAAT